CTCCCGGATCTTTGACCAGCTCTCACCCTGTCTGAGCATCTTCCAGAGTGTCATCCAGGTAGCGCGCTCGTAGTATTGATCCTGTTTCTGGAGATTCTGCTTCTGTCTCGTGATCGCATCGGGATCCAACTGAGTAACCAAGGATTCGGAGTCTTCTGACTTGAGCAAAGAGGCGGTGATTCCGGGATCGTTGGGCTCAAGTGGCTGAGGCCAGGCTCGCAGTCGTTTGTGTCCCTTGATCGTCTCCTTTGTGTAGAGCCAGCCGAAGGACCAAGAGCCCTGACCCCGCTGAGCTTGTGTCTCCAGTTCCGAAATCAGATCGTCAATATCCTGCGAGGAGTTTTTGGCGGTGTACTCGAGCCATTTCAGGATCACCACACATTCCACCGCGTACGCGTCCGAATCGAGGAATTGCTCCCAAACTTCGCGGTCTGTTGAGTAGCGGTGCAAGTTCTGGAAAGCGGTCGCTTGTCTCTCTTTGGATTTGGCTATGCGGTGAGGGTTGGCGATAGTGATGAGGTTGCAGAAAAGCTGCCAGGTGCTTTCCTCGAGCTGCAGTCGTTGGATTTCTTCTTGTGCCTTGGCGTCCATTGGCCCATTGGCCCGGTTGGCGCCAAATCCCAGCTTCGCGCGTTTCAAAGTATGGTCTTTTTGTATATCCTGGATCGTGCCACGCGCCAGCTCTTGGTAGCTTCTCACCAGCTGGTAGGCAGCTTTGTAGTCCTCGAGCTCACCAGACCGGTTTCCCTGCTGTTTGAAACGATCCAACTTCTCGGCGAAGGCTTCGATCTGACGCGTCACGCGGTCCGCCGTGCGACGAAGAGGGTGTAGAGCTTCTTGTGCGCCTGCTGAAGTGAAGAGGTCCGGCGTAGCGGCAGCGGCCAAACCATCTAGCATACGATTAGCAACTTCCCCGTCATGAGAGGTTGTATCCGTCGTACTTTGTTCGGTGGGAGGGGGACTCAGGTCCAGAGGCGATTCACTGCGATTCGAATCCTCACCGGAGTCGTTGTCTGGGCTGTCCTCTTCGTCGCCATAGTCGTCTTCCTCTTCCTCTTCATCTTCTTCGTCCTCCTCGTCCTCCTCATCTTCCATATCCCCTTCGTCGTCATTAGTTTCGATATCCTCTGCCTCATCCATGGGCTCGTCATCACTATCATCAATCTCGATGACATCGGTATTGTTTGGCGCTTGTTGCTGGTGCTGGATATTGGACGCAACGTCAGCGCACCGGCTGGACGGCCGTGTCAATAGAACCGCAGGAAACACTTACATTGATGGAGGTAAAGCCGGCCGGGGCGCCCGAGCCAGCCACCGTAGTCAGGGGAGCCATGAGCGCAACCGAAGGAATTGAAAAGTGGCACTCGATGCGACCCTGTACTAGGAGATGTGATGGGGGGGAGAGGAATGGCGCGGTATAGGCGTTAAGCACCCAAGCAGGGTTTAAGGAAGAACTGGAACTTCAGTGAACTTGCACCTTCTTTCCTTCTCTTGCTCGGCTTGGCCGTGTTTTGGGGCCGCTCAGCCACTAGGCCCAACCAGGTCTAGCGCGTCCACATCCGCGCATTCAAATATCGTGGATTTTTTTCCTTTCCTTCTTCTATTTCTTTTTTTCTTCAACAAATGTCATATAGGCAGTCATTAGAGTCTCGGGGCGAGAGTTTTCAATATTCGTCCAGGTCAATCGGCCTCTTTGCGTGCTCACGATTGTCTTAGAGGGAGTTGCAGTTCTTACAACTAGCCTAGCTCTTCACTTATATGAGAGCTCAGACTGCAAAGGAATTGCTACATTCAGCTTTCGAATTTCGGCCCGGAATTTTCGCACAACTCTACAGTAGTATTTTGGTCAATGGTCTTTGGCCTCGTGTTTCGATATCTGCAACGCTCGGTGTGGTAATATATACATATCTACACGGCAACACAAAGCAACCGTCGGGAGCTCGCGTTCAAGCTAGGATTCCTGGCCTCGTTGCTTCATCCTCAGTCGCAGAAGACTGGGCTTGGGACAGCTAGGGGTTTTCGCTTCTTCGCCTTGCTCCTTGTAGAACGAATTGCAGCATTGGTAGAGGGCATTGATTTGCGACTGGCACTTTTCTTCCTGGTATGAGTTCTTGGTCAGACAAGCTGGCAGGGCTCAGTCAGTGATGTTGTCGCTGGGAGAAGGCTCAGGTGAAGTAACCTTGAATGGCACACTGCAGGGTGTCAACGGACATGTCTCTCGCATGATGCTGGAAGACAAACTTACTGCTCGTGGATGGCAGGGGGGGTCATATGCTAGATCCTCTTTTAGTCCGCCCTGGTCAACTGTCAATTATGTTCGAGGCTGAGAGGACGAGAGATGTCCAACGGAGCAATGCGGTCTAGCTTACCATGACGCAATGATATATATTGAGTAGCAGTAAAATGCAAACGCAGGCTGAAATTTACAATCGGACAGAGCAGGAGAGACTGAGACAATTGCAACTGATCATGCACAAAGCAACAAAGCAAAGATAGAGAAAAAGCGACGATTGGGTGAAGGAGTGAAGAGGAAAGCGATGTCATTCACTGCGCCAGGTAGTTATTGTACCTCAGTCAAGCAGCAGCCTATAAGCCTCCCAAGGTGTTAATGCGGCCGATTGGACCTGCGCCGCAAAAATAGATTCTCCGTCATTCATCACCGGTGGGGGAGGGAAGAGGGTTGCTTCTGCCATCGCCGCCAACCTATTAACCCCGATCTATTTCTCTCCACTTCAGCGCTTCCTCCTCCCTCTGTCACTTTCTCACTTCTCCAAAGATCTTGATCCTGACTTCTCCCCGTCACCCTCATCTCTCTCCAGAAAACTCATCAACCACAAGAAGTAAGAAACCCTTCCTCCTACACTTATCTCTCCTCGTCGTCCCATCTTCCAATCCCGGAGCAATCCACAGTCAAATGCGACACGAACCCCTCTGCAGCGCTGACTTTCTATCTTGCCACCTACAGATCACAACAATCCACAAACAAGATGGCCGACGCGAACGCCTCGCCCGCCGGCGGTGATGCCCCGGCTCCCGTCGAGCACCTGAACATCAAAGTTACCGACAACAACAACGAGGTCTTCTTCAAGATCAAGCGGTCAACCCAGCTGAAGAAGTTGATGGATGCGTTCTGCGAGCGTCAGGGTAAACAGCCTTCGACCGTTCGTTTCCTGTTCGATGGTACCCGTGTGCGTCCTGAGGATACGCCAGACACTGTACGTACCCTGCCCTCTTCCCCCTCATCATTATCATCCTTAGCGCCACCGCCGGTGCTCAGCGTTTGCGGTTGTCTTCCCCCCTCACCAGCAAACAACCCCCTCCAAAATGGCATCCCTCCACCGGTTCGACCCTCCTACACAAGCGAAAACAGACCCCAGTCTAACATCTCCCTCTTCCGCAACAGCTCGAAATGGCCGATGGAGACACCCTTGAAGTCCACCAGGAACAGATCGGTGGTTAAATAGAGACAACCTCTTGTTCTTCTTATCCCGATGAATTAATGATGAATGTGGTTTTTTTCTTCCCTTACATACATCTTCCTCGAACCAACATTTAGCCAGTCGTGCTTTTTCCACGTCAATACTTCTTTCTTCCACGTTCTTCTATACGCCTTCCTTCTTAAATGTGTCGCATTTGGAAGGAGGTACAAGACAAAAAAAAACCAGGCGCAAATTGGTGTTTTCAGCACGGTGTGGGAAACCCTTTCGACCCACTTCAGCGCGGAGCTTTCTTTTAAAAGGGGATAAGGGAGTCTTAAACCGAGTTGGGGGGTTCTTTTGGGAAATGTCATCTTATTTTACACACATGAGCTTGATTGAGAGAATAGAAAGGATTTCTGAGCGCGTTGATGCTTGTCGTCTGAAACACAACTCTAGGATGGACTACAGCTTGCGTTGGGTCTCATTTTCTAGTATGCATCTGTATCTCGGTAACGTGGCGCAGGCCTAGGAGGCGTGACCCCGTCTTCTTATCTTTTTGCTTGGAGCTCATGTCCAAAGGGAGTATACTTTCCACCATTAGATGATAGCGCTACAGTCAGTTATTCGAAGTTACAGAAACGTCCGTTGAAGAGATATACGTCATTGCAGGTTGCAGTTCATCCCCAGCTCCTCCTTTTCGTTCTGCTATGAGTCTCTGGCTGTTAGTCATAATCTATGCATCTTAAGATCCCCACTAAGATGTCTCATTCAGGCTGACTGCGCGCGGATGTCGTGGGCCGATACTGCCGTAGATCTTGGGGAAAGTTCAAATCGCGCCTCATACTATCATTCAATTTACAGGCCATGGAAAGACACAAAGTAAAGTCCCTTGATTGAGACAACTTAGGATCAAGAGTGACCTCAAATATATCTTGATATCCTACATGACGAGTATTGGCACACCCACCTGCATAAACTCCTACATAGATACAAGCACCTCATACCACAGATAAACAAAGAAACCCTAACTTCCTACCACTACCCCTGCCCCAAAAACCTACCCATAATGTGCCAGTGCAGTTCGCCAGTTCAACGCCAGCCAACCTCTCTCTCACACTCAAGTGCCGTCGTTCCGAGACCGGCCTTCAAGGCAATACCCGACAGCAGCCCAGCCCAGCAACTTCCGAGAAACCCAATCACAACGCCCTTTTCTGGCCCCAGAATCCCCACAATGACCTCGGAAACTCGCCAATGTGAAGTCGGCGAGTAGGGATCGGCAATGTAAGTAGCACAGTACAGTACATTCTTAAGGGGCCGCTCATCCTCCGAGGTCCCCCCCCACCTCCAGCGTAGCGTTTCCGATTCAAGGTTTCCCCCGTTGTGCTCCATCTTCTCTTATAACTTCCCCGCATTACTGGCGGTGCCGTTGTCAACACTCACCTTACTACCTTGTCATCTGGGATATAAGACTACTTCCAGAACATTTTCGATTTGATAGAGCGTATAAGCATCAGCTGGCTCAATTGCGTGACTACCTTATCTCATCCCAATCGAGATCCTACCCAGGTCGCGACGAAACCCATGACTCGCTTATGCTCCATCCCCGCGCAGGCGCGGCAAACAACGCCTTCAAGGCTCCAATCCCTTAGCCCAAGAGCCCGGTTCACGACCTCAGCACGCAGCGCCGACAACTATGCAGCTACACTGCCGAATCTCAAGATCGGGGCTCATACGCATGTGTTATTCCAGGGCTTTCCTGGTAGGTCACGTGCTCCATCTATATAGTCGACCCTGGGGTAACTGATGGTTGTCATGTAGGTAAACAGGTACCGTGCGCTAGGGTTGCAGATACGAACTTGGAAAGAGTGGAATGGCTGATTCTGTTTCTTCTAGTCGACTGCTAATGTGAGAGAATCTTTGGCTTGGGGGACGAAGGTCGTCGGAGGCGTGAAGCAGAATGCTAGGGGGGAGAACCTGGGTCTTCCGGTGTTTCGGTCTGTTAGAGAGGTATGTAGCGTGGTTTTGCTGGCTCCTAAGGTTTTATTTTGAGATAGAGACAGAGCAGCCGGATTGACTTGGGTTATAGGCACAGAAGAATGTGAGGGTGGATGCGTCCGCCGTTTACGTGCCTGGTGGTTCAGCTGCCGCGGCTATCGAGGAGGCCATTGAGGCGGAGGTGCCGCTGGTTGTGGCTGTAGCAGAGCATGTTCCGATTCACGATATGCTACGTGTAAGGACCTTTCTCTCCGTGCAAATTGGCCGGCTGCTTAATTGTTTGTTCAGGTGCACTCGATGCTCAAAACTCAGTCGAAGACAAGGTTGGTCGGGGCCAACTGCCCGGGTATCATCTCGGTGACAGGAAAATGCCGCATTGGATTCCAGCCCTTGCCATGCTTCACGCCAGGTAAGATTGGCATCGTAGCCAAGTCGGGTACCTTGAGTTATGAGGCTGCTGCATCTACGACCCGTGCGGGCTTGGGCCAGACTCTGTGTATTAGCATGGGAGGGGATGTGCTGGCTGGGACGAACTTTGTCGACGCTCTGAGGACCTTCGAAAGTGACCCCGAGACCGAAGGTATTGTCCTGGTCGGAGAGATTGGGGGGACGGCCGAGATGGATGCTGCCGACTGGATCCGAGATTATTACCGGAGGACCGCCAATCCCAAGTATGTGTGTGATCTGAGGTGCCATGTTAGCTTGCAAAGGCTGATACTGCGAATAGACCCATCATGGCTCTGGTCGGAGGTCAGCATGCGCCCGCAGGACGCGTGATGGGCCATGCCGGTGCCTGGACTGCTTCTGGAGAGCCGGACGCCAAAGCCAAGTATCAGGCGCTCGAAAGTGCCGGTGCAGTCATGGTGAACCACCCGGAGAAATTCGGGGAGGGTATGAAGACTCTCCTGAAGAGTCGAGGGCTAGCCCGTAATGCCAATGTGAGTTTGTTCCGGAGCAAGAACATCATCAGGATACTCAACCGCTGTAGTTCGCCAGAGGCATGAGCCAACAAAGAGGCTTCCACACAATGAGAAGAGCTACGCTGGACGTCAGCCACAAAGCGCCACAACAGCAAACCCGGAACCTCTACGTGAAACCGTTTCAGGCGCTCGACATGCTCCGAGCGAAGTCCGTTGCGGTCAACGAGACTGCTTCATCGGATGCAGACTTCTTCCTGACCCTGACCGTTGATAGAACCGCGCTGTCTCCATGCATCCTTGCATCGTCGACCGCCGCCTTCAGCCCCGAACACACCGGTCGCTTTCCGTTTCCTTACGAGACCCCGGATTTCGAGAGCACAAGTCCGCTCATCAAGGCTGTCGCCTCCCACCTGCAGCTTCCAACCGAGTCGCAAGAGAGATTGGCCGAGCTCATCCAGGCGCTCTGGCAGATTTTCACGGAGAAGGAGGCATACCTCCTGGAAGTCCGAGCGAATGCTACGGATACCTTGGAAGTGCGTGAAGCACGGTTTGGATTCGACGATGCTGCCTTCCGAAGTTCAGGCCGCCAGGAAGATATTCAGAGCCTGAGAAACCCAGCCGAGGAGGTGCCGGAAGAGGTCCTAGCTGAGAAAAACGGTATCGTCTACGTCAAGTGAGTTTTGTGCTTGCGCCTTTTCACTCCGAACATGATGCTCATCCTACATTGTAGGTTGGATGGAGAGGGAAGTGTAGGCACACTAGGTAAGAAACCTCTCTCTTCAACCGAAACGGTGACCGACTAACCCCATACAGTCAATGGCGCTGGGCTGGCCATGAACACGGTGGACGCGCTGACGATGCATGGCGGCCACTGCGCCAATTTCCTGGACACAGGGGGCAAGGCGACGTCGGCCACGGTGAAGGCGTCGTTTCAGATCATCCTGTCGGACGCGCGAGTCAAGGCCATCTTTGTGAACATCTTTGGGGGACTGACGCGGTGCGATATGATCGCGGAGGGGATTCTGCTGGCGTTCCAGGATCTGGACGTTCGCATTCCCTTAGTGGTGCGGCTGCGGGGGACCAACGAGAAAGAAGGCCAACGAATGGTAAATGCTTTAGTGTCCGGCTCCGGCTCGCGCGAGGTTATTTGCTAACGGTTGATGTCGCAGATCGCGGAGAGTGGACTCCCGCTGGAGGCATTTGACGAGTTCGAGGCCGCGGCGAAGAGGGTGATAGAACTGGCAAAGCAACGATAAACAAGATCATGCCATAGTACGCATCACATAAATATAGATCTCCGACAAGGAGTCACCCAGAGACAACGATAGAAGCCAGTGAATCATATCGACGGTCCACAGTCCCCTGAGTCGTGTACAGGTTGTACAGGTTGTACGTAGTAGCGGGGCCCAGGCCCGCGGCGGCATACGTAACCAAACCAACCTTAACAAGTCGCAGCGTGCCTGAGCCAACTGAGTTGCCAGCAACCAAAGAGAACCCGCAAATGGGCTCACCGCCCAACGATAACGCAATTTGGCAAAATCAACTTCTTAATCCACCCCGCGATCGGCGGCCCCGCCGCCGTGCCAATGAGTGAGTGAGTAGGAAAGTAGTTTAGCCAGGGTTTCGCCCTTTTTCTCTGACTCCCCCTCCTCTCCTCTTAATCTCTTCTTCCTACATCTCCCTCTTCCCAGATCCTTCATCCCATAACTCCCCCCCTTAACCCTCAATCCCTCCTTCAAAATGGCCACGTAAGTCTTCACCCGCCATCCCCAGACCAAACCAAACCAACCCCCCCCCACCACCACCAACCACCACTAACCCACCGCAGAAACATCACCTACCACGCCAGCGCCCTCACGCGCAGCGAACGCAGCAACTTGCGCAAACAACAAGGCCTCACAATCTGGCTGACGGGCCTGTCGGCGTCCGGCAAATCGACTCTGGCCGTGGAACTGGAGCACCAACTGCTGCACGACCGGGGGGTGCACGCCTACCGGCTGGACGGGGACAACATCCGGTTCGGCTTGAACAAGGACCTGGGATTCAGCGAGGCGGACCGGAACGAGAACATCCGGCGGATCGCGGAGGTGGCCAAGCTGTTCGCGGACAGCGCCTCGATCGCCATCACCTCGTTCATCTCCCCTTACCGCAAGGACCGGGATACCGCCCGGCAGCTGCACGAGGTGCCCACGCCCGGCGAGGAGACGGGTCTGCCCTTCGTCGAGGTGTACGTCGATGTGCCCGTGGAGGTGGCCGAGCAGCGCGACCCCAAGGGTCTCTACAAGAAGGCCCGTGAGGGCGTCATCAAGGAGTTCACGGGGATCAGTGCCCCCTACGAGGCGCCAGTGAAGCCCGAGGTGCACATCAAGAACCATGAGGTCCCTGTGCAGGAGGCTGTGCGCCAGATTATTGAGTATCTCGATTCCAAGGGGTACCTCCCTCCTAAGTCTGCTTAGATTTAGATTCATTTGTTCCTAGGGGGGCAAAAGAAAAGAGGGGCGGTGGATAGGGTGACTGAAATATAGAATATTTCCTGTTGATGTTTTTTGCTGTCTTGCATAGAGTGCAGATAGATGGAGCTTCAGAAGAAAGGTGGGCTGCGTTGAATCTGTATATATACAAATAGATATTTTTTTTTTTCACCGGCATTGAAAACAATCGAGTAGACAAACTGTCACGCAAGGCTCAATCAAGCATGCCATTCGACTCTATGTACGCTATACATATCCACAACACAAAGAGAGAAAAAAAGCTCAGGTAGAATAGACACCATGGCAGTAATCACTGGAACTCAAAGTCATAATACACGTATGCCGTATAATCGGCCGCCGCGGCTCCCTCGCCGTGCATCTCGCTCGGGTCGTCGCGCTTCACCCGGCCCTTCTTGTCGCGCCCGAACGCATTACCCGCCAGATACGAGTACTTGTCATCCAGGTTGTGTTTCGCCTTGTCCGCTTGTTTCGAGCTCGCGGTCTGTCGTCTTGAATTAGCCCTCTGCTGGGTTCATCCCCGTGATTTTTCAGTATAAAAAAACTTACCCGGATCAAAGTGCAGACAAAGTCCAATGGCAGCCCGTATCGCAGCACCGTCTCCACAAACACCCGCAGCACCAGCACGTGGATCCAAACCATGACCGCCTCGCTCCACGCCGTCCGGCCCAGCCGGAGCGTCTCCCCCCAGAGCTTGCGCTCGTCGCCGCCCACGCGCTCGACCTCCCGCCGCTCCTCCTCCTTGCCGCCGGCGACGTACTTGAAGTCGCGCGGGATCCACTTGCTCTCACGGCACTTGTGTACGAACTCGACGCTGTGCTTCTTGAACGTCGTGACGGCGTACAGCGTGAAGTCGTTGTCCGAGGCCACGAGCGTGGCCGACCGCGGCACCACCATCGGCGCGACAGTCTCGTAAGTTTTGAGGAACTCCTTGATCTGCTGAGCGGGCACGGCGATGAGGTGCGTCTCGATGTATTCGGAATCCTGGACCAGGGTGCGCGGGTCGACGACCGAGGCGAGCGATTTAGTGGACAGATTACCCCTACCGCCAATGTCAGCACGCGGCCTTTTGGATCAAGACATAGGGGTGTGATAAGAGGGAGATCTCACGTCTGCTTCCGCTGAAGCGTCGCCAACGTATTCTTCACCTGGTTGTACTGGGTATACTTTGTGCGGATGTCGTTATCGATACTAGCGGCCTCCTGCTCTGGGCGTCAACAATCGCCGTCCCCTGCCTATTCCATTCGTACCAGACGCATGACATAAAAACCACCCACCTTTTGTAGCAAGTCGATCAATTCCGCCAGAGGCTTATCGGCCCGGTACTTGACTTTGTTCCAGGAAAATGTGCGTAGATATTGGTCCACCGGCTCTATATAGGCAAAAGGGTTGCGTCATTGCGTTAACCGGCAGATTCTCCGAGAAGGGAGTGTCATGGTAGGGCGAGGGCAGGGTTGCATACTATCGTTCACGGTCTTCATCTTCTCGATCTGCGCTTCGTCCCCCTCCAAGATATTCTTCAGCGCATCGCCGACCTTGGCGACGACCCCCTGGCAGGCGGCCTCCAGCTTGGCCAGCTCATCAGCCTGCTGCACTAAGGCATCCAAGGTACCGATCTTAAATTCTGGGATGGGGAAGGGGGCAACGGAGCCATTCTCGGGAGCGACGGTGGCAGAGACGGCATCGAGGGCATCGTCGCGATGGTGGGAGGGGGTGATGGAGGTGGGGAGCGAGACGAGGAGGTACTTGGTGGACTTGGACATGGTGGCAGCAGCACGGGACGAGGAGGTGCGGGGACTGACTATCGGGCGATTTCGAGAGCTGCAAGGGTACCACGCATGCGATAGTCGTTTGCAGATAAGATCGGAAGAAAATGAGGAGAGGAAGAGAGGGACGGAAGTTGAGCTGGAGGTAAGAGGGGAGGTGGAGCTGCAGCTTGCGGAGCGGAGGCTCCAAGTGCTTGTCGGGCAGTCACTCGGAGGCGGTCGGCGAGTGCGCAAGTGGCTTAACCCGGGGAATATCAATTAGTTTCACCAACCCAGAAACCACCAAGGCTTGTCAGTTACACAGACATGGCTGGAAAATTAGTGCTTTTCTTGGCTTGTCTGTCAGCTGCTTGACATATATCTACTAATAAATAGGACCCATGCAGCCAAACTACTCCGCTAGATATATACTTGTGTGCACTAAACAGAGCTGGCATACTGTAGGCCGAATGCGCCGCCCAATGACCAGTCTACAACACTTGCAGTTACTAGAAAGTATAAAGTCGAAATCCGAAGCTCATTATTCATTATCATTATTGTACTCATGAATCATAACGCAATGCAACCGCCCTTTTGGAAATCCCAGATCTGAAAAATAAGACGACGAAACCTCCAGCTTTCCTCTAATCCTTCTGCAATTCTGCTCCGGCATCTTTAGAGCTGCAGCTCATCCGAGTCGACACCGGTCGTCGTGTGCTGACCAAACTTGGTATCTTGCTGGAATCGGCCATCGTGTACTGACCATCCTTAGTTCTTCAAACCATTACCGAGCCTCCATACAATCGACCCCAGCTTCAGTAGATCGGTACCGTGTCTCCACCGTCGACATGGCAGATCGCAACGTCCCCTCCCAGTCAATGCAAGTAGACATGCCAGCAGTAGCAACATGATCCCAGATTGCTTAACTCATCATGCCTGTCGCATACCCCCACCCCCTCACTTATGATTCCCCTGCTCAAGCAAAGACTGCCGACGCTGGGACTTGCGCTTCTTCTCGTTCTGCATGAGCATGTTCTGCACCGACCGACTCCCGCGGGCATTCGATTTGACCCCGTCGTCGTTCAGCAACTCCGTCAACGCGGACTTGACCATGTGATCGCATCCGCGGGTCGACTCGGCCGCTCTCGCAGCAGCAGCGTGCTCGCCGTTTTGCGCAGGCGAGTACGACACGGAGCGTTTGACGTTGTGGATGGTGTGCAAGGTCGGCACTTTGTTCGCGGAGGCGGCGGGTTCCCTCCTCAAGGTAGCGTTGGCCATTGTGGTTTTTCTTTTCGTTGTAGATGTATTCTGTGGTGGAGGTTTGCGATAGAGATGTATTATGTGGTGGAAGTTTGCGATAGAGATGAATTATGTGATGGAGGCTTGTGATGAGAGATTTGAGTTGATCGAGATGACACTTTAGCGAACGTTGGGTTTCTTCTCCAGGGATAAATAAGTTTGATGTGAAGGTAGAAGTTGTGGTCCTCGCATTCAATGATCGACCTGATCGCGCTTTATTCACTTCTTAGCATAGATTCACAAGTCCGCGATCAAAGGAACTTTTGCGATTGGTGTCACTATGACGTGTGGGGACGCTGATCGTTTGAAACGAGGCTGAAAGGAAGGGAGGAGAAGTATAAGATACGAGGATATACTTCAAACCACCACTGCATGGATGGATGGCAAACCAAGGAGGAAAGCAGGAAGCGAGGGTCATGCAATAATAAGGGTCGGACTTAATCCCGCTTCAAGATGTACAATACAGGAAATAAAAAAAAATTGGAGATGTACTACGGAATCTGCAGGGCTGGCCGGTTTGGATTGCAGCTGACTGGGCCGTCTGATTCACCCGTTCACCTTCACGTCTTACATCATGGATGACTCTCCACCTCCACTTCTCCTCTCCCATCCGCCCAGACCCTTTGTGAATAGCGACCTGGGTCCGCCGTTAAGTTTGGTTAAGAAGTGCGAACTTACGAGGATTATTTCGACATAACCCCTGCACTGAGAACCTTATCCCAGTTGATTGGTGGGGGCGTGCCCCCGATATCATCAGCCAAGACACAAGTCCCTCTCTACTCCATCTCGATGGCGAAAGAAAAAGAGTTTCATTGTCGACCACTCAGTCCATAGTCCACGGTACTTTATCCGACCACCCCCTTGGACCTTGACCATTAACTGTACTCAAAAGATCCACTCCACAAACGAAACCCTGGCCAAGGGAGGCAACCCAATCCGCCAATGACACGAGTCCATGCGTCTTCCCACTTGCTCAGTAGTATGGATGTACTGTACTTCTTTACTTCCCTGAGATTCGCTTTCTCTCCTCAGTTGAGAGTCCTTTCTACACATGAAACCGATACTCATCCCCCCGGTCCAAGTAGACCACCTCCCCCTCGAACCCCGCCTCTTTCACCTGGGCCTTGAAGTCCTCCAACGGACTGGCGAACACGTCATAGTCGTCGAAATGGATGGGGATCGTCACCTGCGGCCGGATCAAGCGCATCAGCTCGACCCCCTGGGTTGCGTCCATCGTCACCATCATCGCCAACGGGCCCAGGGCGGGCGACGGCACCGTCGTGCCGCCCAGATGCACCAGCATCAGGTCGATCGTCTGCCCCTCATACCGCCGCGGGATCTCCTTCAGCTCGTCGAACATCAGCGTGTCCCCGGAGATGTAGATCCGGTATCCCGGCGTGAAGTCGGCGGTCGTCGTCGTGCTGCTGCTGCTGTAGCCGAGTTCAAGCATCCAGCCGTTTGTGGGGGGGATCTGTTGGTTTTAGTCAGTTGAAAACAGCTAGCAAAAACAGACAAAGAGAAACAAAGAAGAAGAAGAAGAAGGAATGACGACGATGACGCAGACCTACCGCGCCGACAAGCTCATTCAGCTTTTCCAGTGGCTTCGCCAGGGGGATATGCCTCCCGGGCATACCAGTCACCCGCAACCGGGGCTGTTTGTCCGGCGGGTGGTCGCCGCGGATATCGACCACCGCTTGCTCGTACACATCCACGGATGCGACCCGGGTGAAAGAGTCGTCGCCTTTGGAGGTCAGGATCGATTGCGCGTGCGGCGTGGTGATGATGGGGAGGTCCCGGCGAAGGGAGTCCTCTACATGTCGATCAAAGTGGTCTCTGCATTACATCGTATCAGTGTCATACCGTCTGGCTGACTTGAACAAGCAACAACTATTAAACAGAAACCGCCAAAAATGCCCCCAAACAGACAAAAAAACATACAACAGAAGGGATTCGCTGGTGGTCACCCACCCAACTACTAACCTCCCGGCGTGTGGCTTGAGTACGGCTGAGCGGACGGGAAGCCCTATTTTCCACACCCTGTGGTCGTATGTGCTAGAAAAATCTGTCGCTGCTATCCTTAACGACTGCAGCTAGCTGTGAATTGAAGAGGGCACAACAACCCTACTTCAAGCAGCTTGCCTGTCGTCCGACTCCCCCCACTGAAGAGCGTTCAACCCCCCCCCCAGTAAGACCAAATAAAAAAAAGTAAAAAAAGAAAAAAAAAACATACTCATGATAATGCGAAAGCAGCACCAGATCCACCCGGGGCAGATCCTCCAAATCCACCGCCGGATCCTTCATCCGGGTCGAGGTCACCCCCGGCCCGAGATGCACATGGTCGCCTGCGTGCAGGAAGTTGGGCTTTTTCAAGCCGAAATCATTAGCCACCGCTATACTGAATCATACAGCCTCATCAGCGATGTAGCGAGAGTAGGCCACGTACATCAGTCATAATCCGAATACCATGCCATTGTCTATCGTAGAGCTTAGCCAGGTTCTACTCTCGCATAATTCCTTCCCGTATCAGGAGGACAGAAAAAGGGAAAGAACATACATGATGGTGGTCGCGTTCCCGACAAAGTAGATCGAAGCATTCTCCGCCCCGGGGTTGCGGGGGTGGGCCTTTGTGGCTTTGGCGGCGGGGAGGCTTGTGGGGATGGAGGATGTGGTGTCGTGGTGGTGGTGGTGGTGTCGTGTGGGTGGTTCCGGGTGGGTTGGGTCGATGGTGAGGGTTTGGGGGGTGGAGGTTGGCATTTTGGTTGCTCTGGATATGAGATCAATCAATGTTTAGGACGGGAGGGGATTTGTGAAAGGTTCAATGGTTGGAGATAGGGGTTGGGGAGTTGGTAGATGTAAGCTGGATGAATGGATGATTGATTGATAGAGGAATGGATTAGTAGTCCGCGATCGCGATGTGGCACGGGTGACGTCAAGTTTACCTAGTTCGTGGTAAATGCAGCTGTGCCAAGAGGAGCTACAGAACACTACTGTGTATCAAGTTCATTCATTCATAGAGTGCAGATAGTCTGTCTATTGCTTTTATGAGGCCGATGCATACCATTACATACTTTGTTCTAGCACATTTGTTTCATAGTGATTGAGACCGTCTAATCTCCTCTCCTCCTACGCCCACGGGCCAGAAAGTCGGCCAGACTGCTGTCAATGACAGAGGGCCGCCGGAGCGCGGCGCACATGAAGAGGTAATGGTCTAGTCTGGAGTTCATGACCGGATTGGCCTGCAGGACCTCCTTAACGAGGTAGATCGCATCCGAGTCGGCGGGTGCATCAGGGAACTCCCCAGGCTCGAAGAGGGCGGCCACCAGCGGGCTGTCTTTACCCAGCAGTCATTGTGCTCTTGGTGAGGCAGTCATCTCAACCATATATCCATATATTCCTGAGGCTCTGTGATTCTGTCCTCGACGGTGGTGTCTTGAGGCTCGATTTGCACGTCTCATGAGACAATGATCTATAAAAGTAATGCTAGTTTAGTAACCAAAGCCTCCGCCAACTCCTTGTTTCGAAGATAGTTGCCTCCCGAAGCATATCCAATCTACCCTTCTGGGTCATCATAAATATTGCCAACAGGATAAAAACACAAGGACCATGAGAGGTAAGGTGGATTCGTATTGAGCAGAGAGGCTCCAATCACAGCGACGGCAGCTGACGAGCTGCTTCCCTGTTTCCCTCCGTCCAAACAAGCGACAAAGCCGGCTTTCAGAATAGAAAGAATACAATAAAGCGTCTAGGAAAATATGAGAAGCTGTTGCAAAACAAGCCTTCTAAGACTAGGGCTGAGCTGACAGACAATAAATGGATGTACAATGGTTCTTTCAACATCAAACCCGTCTTTGGTTCCATGTCACATTCAGACAAACTTCCGCGCCGGAGTCCTCGCCTCGAACAACGCATCCAACCGGGCAAAGGACAATCCCTTTGTCTCCGGCAAACAGAAGAAGCACACGGCCGTGAGAACGAGCCCGGTGCCCAAGAACGGCAAGGCGGCTTTGGCGCCCAGATCGGCCTCGTCCGCGTTCACCAGGTAGGGGATGGCGATCGACCAGACCATGTTGCTGAGGTTGCTCGACAGCGCGGCGATGGAGGTCGTCTTGGCGCGCAGGCGCGCGGAGGAGATCTCGCCGACGATGGCCCACCCGACCGCGCCGACGGAGGCGTAGTAGAGGAGGGCCCAGATGATGCAGAAGGCGGCCAGGGCGCGGTAGTTCCACGCCCGGCCCAGCCCCTCAAACCCCAGGATCGAGACGACCAGCAGACAGACCAGCATGCCGGCGCAGCCGGACAGCATCTGACGACGCCGGCCGACGCGCTCGATGAGCACGAAGGCGAAGAGGGCAGCGACGAGCGAGCAGATGACCGAGATGAGGGTGATGAGGAAGGCGTTGTTCATTCCGGAGAGCGAGAGGAAGTACGCCAGATAGTTGCTGCAGAGCGGGTAGCCCGTCAGGATCTGCATGACGACCGGCAGGCAGGCGAGCAGGGTCCGGCGGAGATTGGTGCCCTGGAAGCACTCGCGTATGGACACGGTAGAAGCGCTCTGCTGGGCGCGGCGTTCGTGCAGCAGCGTCTCCTGGATGTGGCGCAGTTCCTCATCCACAGCGGAGCTGTCCGCGGCCCGCAGCCGAGCCAGTGCCTTCCGTGCATCGTCCATCCGGTCCTTGGAGACCAGATAGTAAGGGGATTCCGGGACGAAGAGGACAAACATTCCGATGCAGAGAGCAGCCGGGCCGAATTGAGAGACCACCGCCCCTTTCCAGGACCAGGCGTCGTCGACATGACTGGTTCCCTCGAGCACGCAAGTGGCAATGAGCTGGCCGATAATAATCCAGAATTGAAACAGTGAAAGCGCCAGTCCTCGGATGGATGTTGGGGTGATCTCCGAAACATAAGTTTGGGTATTGGCCTGCATGGACCCCATCGCAGAGCCCATCAAGATTTTCGCAACAATCCACACTTTCCAGTTGGGAGAGAAGAGCTCGGCCAACGTCCCGCAAATTGTAAGACTAACACGGGGTGGAAGGGATAGTTAGTCTCGTGTGAAACGTTTTCCAGAGGAGGGAAAGGGCGGAGGCATTCATACCAAACAGTGGTGAAGAAGCCAACGCGGCGGCCGAGGGTGTCATTCAGGTAGCCGGAGCCCAGGGCAGAAGACATGGCAGAAACATACTGCACGATACTCCAGACGAGTTGGTAGTTGGCGGGAAGTGACCAGACTTGTTGGGTCTCATCGTAGCGGCCAAAATGGTGGACAAATTGGGTGTTTGCGATGATGGAGCCGATCAGCGTCAGATCGTACCCAATCAAGATGGGAGTGGTCGAGCAGGCAAACGCTTTTGCAAGATGGCAGTCAGACAAACATACTACGTCTTTGAGGGATTGAGATTTCGAGCTGGAAGTGATGGCACAGTACTCACCTGCTAAACATGCCCGCTTGTTAGCCTTCACAGCTCTCAGTTGGTCCCTGAACGAGCTCGACGTAACCACAGCGGTTGCACCCTCGGAGAGTTCAGCTGGTGCTACTGACTCAATATCACTATCTTGCTTGAAATCGGCCGGCTTTTCCATGATCCAGATTGAATGCAGTGGTATCGGTCAACGGTGCAGGCTATATCTTCTATAGATCGTGTAAGAGTGGTAGAAGGGAAGAAGAAGAGAAAGGGGATATGAAAGACGAAAAGAATCGATTCTCTGGAAGCGTGTAGTAGGTAGATACTAGTAAATATAGAAAGAGGCCTTGCAAAGGGGTGTTTTATACCCCTAAGTACTGTACATGTGCGTTAGTATCATGATATGGCTAGAGTGTAAGTACCGTAGTATAATACACATGATCCGGGGTAAAACCCACCACCAGGGGCGGAATTCACCTTCCGTAGTGGAGATTCCCCCGTATCTCCCCGTATCTGTACATGTTTAGGCCTATCTACCTACTCGTGTATGAATAGTAAGTGCTAACTTATCTACCGCAGTATCCACCCCCAGGTGGGGTCTCTTATCCCTAGCACTAAGCACTGCGTACGGTACATACGTACTCAAGTATAAAGTATCTTCTTTTCAACCTGACAAATAAGGAATCAATGAAAAAGGGAAGAAAAGGCGCAATCAACGGACTATAATTTCCGGTACACTTTCCCCCAACTTTCCTGTAATACGCGCCATGCTCAAACAAACTTCACTCGCTGTGGAATCCCCTCATGCAGGAATGGCAACCGATCGGGACCCATAGTTCAAGACGTTGTCAGTGCAATGACCGATGAGAGTATGCGAATATGACCTGGGATTAGGGCCCATTTTTGACAGTGACAACGACGGCAAGGAAGAGATGAGTTGTAGAAGAGTTACATCAAGCATACAATTGTCTGTTCTGCGCAGTATAGAACCGAAGGATTCTCAATTCGCTTTGATTTGTCTTTGAACCATTCGAACTAGTTCTTTCTTTGTTCATTACATAGAACTATTTGCTCCAAGTCATCTCCTGACCGGCCGTCACACGCCCCACAGGCGCTGCGTTGGACGCCGTCGTTCCCAGCAAAATCTCCACCTCACTAGCAGCGTCAATGACCCAGAGGCTCCTGCTGGTGTCGAACATCCCCAACGCCCGGTAGTCGATCTGAACCTCGACCTCCTGCGTCTCACCGGGCAGCAATGGCCGGGACTTGGCAAATCCACAGATCTGCTTCTTCGGCCGCCTCAGTCTCGTGGGTCCGCACGGAGAGAACCACGCAATCACAGTCTCCCGGCCTGGCAACTCGCTCCCACCGGTGTTGGTCACATGCGCAGTGACAGTCAAGTCGGAAGAGCCGACTGGCAAGGTGTGTGTGCTGATTGAGCCCGGCACCACCTCGAATTCGTTGTATGAGAGGCCGAATCCGATCGGAAACAACGGTTCGATAGATAGCAGATCCCACCAGCGGTAACCAACAAATAGACCCTCGGTGTAGTGAACCTCGTCCGCCTCGCCTGGAAACGATGAGTAGGCAGGACAATCTTCGATCCGCCGCGGGAATGTGACGGGCAGTCGACCGGAGGGGTTGGCATGGCCACAGAGAACCGCCGCCGCCGCGTTGCCCAACTCCTGGCCCTGGTACCAGGTGTAGAGCACAGCCTGCACGTCCTGCAGCCATGGGTCCATGTTGACGGGCGTTCCGGCCTGTACGATCACGATGGTACGCTTGCAAGTAGCGGCTACGCTGCGAATCAGACGCACTTGCTCGCCGGGCAGATTGAAGAACAGCACGTCTTGGCCTTCCGTCTCCCATTCTCTATCGCGGCCCACAACCACGATGGCGGCATCGCAGTCCGCGGCTAGTGTGGCGGCCTCGCTAGGTCGGTCCCGACGATCTTCCTCCTCGAAGCCGAGCCGGATCCCCTGAAACTGATCCTCCATTGGGTCTAGCAAGTGGTGAAGTTTGGGGTTACGCTGGCGACCATGGCATTGGTAATCAATTTGGAGCTCATAGTCATTTTCAGCCACGAAATCCCAGGAGCAAGCTTTTTCCTCACTCCCGTATGTGAAGAAGAGGTTTCCTTTCTCTTCGTAGGCCCCGGATTGCTCGAGGAGTAGGGACCCGTCAAGACTAAGCTTTGCAGGACCAATGGAGGCGAGAGAAATCGAATGGGAACCTGCTGTACGCGGTCGTACTTTGGCACGAAGGCGAAAGGAAAAGTTGGTTGCATCCTTGATTTCGGGTGGAACGGTTCCGAAAGACATGAAATACAAATCGTCACTATTCAATCGTGGTTAGCAAGGTACTTTGGGCAGCATAGAAGAACTCTGAACTGACATGTGAGTAGTCACTACTATCTCGCCGTCAAAATCAACACCGTTGTACCAATCGAGAGCTGCTCCGGACATGCCAGTGTCAGGGTCCCTGGCCACCTCGCAAACAGGAAGGTATCGATTGACCTTGGCTCCTGGTGAACTGACAAACTCAGTTCGGGCTTCACGAAACTCATGCTTTAATGAGTCGTGAACTGAAGTCCAATATTGAGCTTTGATGTAGGAACTGCCTCCCCCGCCAGCGACTACTCTTTGCGCGTTAGGACCAAAAATGCCGACTTTGCGGATAGAGTCTTTGGGTTTGAGTGGGAGAGCTGACGATTCATTCTTCAGCATCACAATACCCGCGGTAGCAGCGCGAAGAAGCAAGGCTCTCTTCTCCGGCGTGTCCTCGGATCGCTCGGGGTCATTCTGAGGGTCGGCAAGCCTGTTGGTCCGGTGGAGGAGACGCAGAATGCGACCAGCGGACTCGGTCACTCGATCCAGATCCACCAGGCCGTGCTGGAGGGGCTCCTCCAGGGCATCTCTCGAGCGCTTGGTGGGAGGGCCAGGCATCTCAAGGTCGAGGCCGTTGTTGATCGACGCGACGGTAGAGGTGGTGCCTCCCCAATCGCTCATGCAGACCCCGCGCCAGCCCCATTCGCCACGAGCGATGTCAATCAGCAGCTCACGGGATGCATCACAGTGGTGACCATTAACCTTGTTATACGCGGTCATCATACACCAGGGGTCGGCATCACGGACGACCATCTGAAAAGGCAGCAGATAGACCTCTCTCAGAGCACGGGCAGCGACCTTGGCATCAATCTTGAACCGCCTTGTTTCCTGGTCGTTAGCTAGAAGGAGAGTAAATATATGGAATTGGAAAAATGTAAGTCGCACTTTTGCAAAGTGGGATGCGTACCGACAAAATGCTTGGGCGTGGCCCCAATGCCGCGGGACTGAATACCCCGAACATGGGCAACGGCCAGCTTGCCAGTGAGATAGGGATCCTCGCTGTATGCCTCAAAGTTGCGTCCGCCGAGAGGGTGTCTATGGATACAAATTGTGGGACCGAGGAGCACCGAGGCAGACTTCGTCTTGCACTTTTCTCTTATTTTAGGTTCTGACTCCTTGTCTAACCTTATCGTCCTCAGAAAGAGACTGACTCACCTCATCTGCCAGTAAATGTCCAACCTCATGTAGAAGATCTGGATCCCATGTGGCCCCGAGGCTCACGCCACAGGGCAGGAAAGCCGCTGGTGTATTCTCTCCAAAGACTTCTCCGCGCGCCCCGGATGGTCCATCCGACACCTGTGGTCAGAGTCGATGTATCAGCATTCATGGCCCAATACTTTGATAGGACCACTTGCAGACTCGCTCACCTTGAGAGGAGGAATACCTAGGCGATCAATCGCTGCGGTCCGCCACTGGGACTGTCCCGCGATCAATGCCAATTTCTCATCCAGTGTCAAGCGAGCTAGCAAAGATTCAGTGTTTAGGTCTGACATGGTGGTCGTCGTTCAATGCCCTTCCGCAAGGAATGTGTGTTCCGGGGTCTCGGCGACGAGATGAGGGTTGCCTTATCATTTTATATAGATAACGATTCTCCTCGTTGACGAGTGTGGGGAAAAACTCAACTGATATCGAGGCGGAATTCACATTCCGCCCATACGGAAGCACACGATATTCACCAGTCGAAAGGAATTCATCTTCCCACGGCTGGGGGCGCTTGTTTTAGCCAAAACGGATGATTGGAGATTAAGGATAAGATCTGATTCTGTTCTTTGTGGGGGTTCTTCAAGGATGCGGCCACCTTTTTACCTCCCAGACCTAAATACGCCCGCCCGCCCTGTATACACATGCCGAAATCCATCTTCGCAGCACCAACAATATGGAGTCCTTACCTGAGAATGTCATCGTCGTCGATAGTTCTTCTGCGACCCAATCATATTCATGTGTGAGCGCAGAAAGCGTGAACTCGAATTGGAAGCTTAGTTTGAAGGGCACTGAGTGGGCAGACATGCCAGTTGTGCCCCGAACCCAAGAAGCCATTGTTACCCCCGAGATAAAGGAAGATCTTAACATGAGCCTTCAAACAATCGATGTCCGCGCGCCAGCGTCCGGAGAAGCTGTTCTTCGCATACTATACTCGGGAATCTGCCGCAGTGTAAGTTCAACCAAATGGTTAGACCTCGAGAATATATCCCCTTTCCCCGTCGGGGCTTGCTTTGGTGTGGAATCTCCCCGGCCAGAACACAAAAATGACAGATCATTCGCTTAGGATATAACCTTTTCCATAAGTCCTAAATGGCCCAAATCAGAACACAACCATATTGCGGGCCATGAAGGCATCGGACGAGTCATCAGCTGTCGCGATCCATCTTTGCTGGGCCGTCTGTACGGCATTCGTTATCTGGGCTCGCACTGTCAATCCTGCACATACTGTTTGCGTGCTATACCCACCTCATGTCCCTTCCAGCTGAACGTCCCCATCCATATCACGGGAACTTTTCAGCACTTCGCCACGGTTCCTATCTCCTGTCTCGTTCCCTTGCCGGACAACCTCCTAGACGGCGGCGGCAGTAGCATTGACCCCGCCTTGTACACAAGCGCCCTGTGCTCGGGATCAACGGCGTTGGTGTCGCTGCGGGCATCCAAGGTTCTCCCCGGGTATGTGGTCATCGTGGTTGGTATTTTGGGGGCGATAGGCCATTTGACGGGAATGCTGGCGAAGCAAATTCAGCGAGCACGAGTGATCGGGGTGGACCTGGCCGCCAAAACAAGTGCGGTGACTCAAGAACATCAAGATTACTGCGACATTCTGCTCGGAGCGCCGGAGTCCCATGAGGATGAGGCCTGGCAAGGCTTCCATGAGAGATTGCTTCAGGCGTGTGCGCAACTCCGCCGTGGTCATGGTGAGGATGTTGGCATCCCTCGTGCTGCTGAAGCGGCAATTGTCACGAGTAGCTCGGTTTCTTCTTTTCAACGCTTGGATGAGTATGTTTGTGATGGTGGCACGATAGTCTGCGTTGGGTAAGACACCTCCCCATCCAACCCAAAAATCTTGAATCATAGCTTGCTCAAAGGCTCACAAATCATCTCGTCTCATCCCAGGGTACCCAAAGGGCGCAGCAACATGGTGTCGCTTCCGATTCACTCAGTCGTGGAGCGAAACTTGCGCCTGGCTGGGAACCTCATGGGTGGCCATCGTGAGGCACTGGAGGTGATGGAATTCATTCGAAGTGGTCAAATCATGCCCCGCATCACCAAAGTGGCGCTCAAAGAAGTGCCCGAACAAATGCAGCGTATGGCCAATAACCAGACCACTGGCAAGCTAGTGGTATATATGTGAAAAAGATCGGAAAACATCCTACTGCCCATTGTTGGAACCAAGGTATGACAAGAAAAGAAAAACAAAGTGGAGGAAGAAAACGAACTTGTGAGCCTCTGATAGTATTCAATAGATTTCCATGATTGCGCTCCCCGAAATCATCCCTACTATTACTCATAGAAGGCCCACAAGTCCGGGGGTGTAGACGAACCGATTGCTGCCAAAAAGCCAAGATCATGGGGTAAGTCCAACAGAAATTCCTCGAATGTCAGACCGTTGTGCACTGCCGCTTCGATATCCATATCCAGACAGGAAGACGGCTGCTGCCCCGCGCTTTGGTTCCATTGGGACGATCCGTCGGCCGCCGCTTTCGCAGTAACTTCGGATGGAGTATAGTGATCATGCTCTCCTACGGCGTCGTCGCAATTGACCGCTGTCGGGCTATTACGCGGCGAAGGGATCGCCTCTATATGTCTCAAGCCTCTTGTGAGCGACAGTCCTTGTTGATCACGATCCTTGAGGAGACAGCGCAGCCCGTGCCAGTATTTTGTGGCTGTCGTCCATGAAACCCCGAGTTCACGTAAGGTCAATAAGCATGATCTGATCCACTTGCTTCTTGCGTCGGGTTCAATCTTGGGTTCCTCGTGATCTTGATGATGGCCATTTAAAATCAGGAAGAGCGCCGCAGAGAACGTACAGTGCATAGCTGTGATGGGACTCTGCCGGAACCCACCAAAGGCCTTTCGGTACTGCTCACCCAGCAGACAGATGTCTCGAGAAGCTTCCACACACAGGGACGACGCTTTCCTCTCTATGTCTGCTACTGCTGCTGCTGCTACTGGAATGCCGGGCATCGTCGGGTTTTCTGGGGCCGCGGCGGCCGTGCGGAACAACGACGGCTTGGACAAGAACGGTTTGGCAAGGATGATGATTGAGGTGTTATAAACCATGTGCAGCAGGAATATGTGCGGCATGATCGGGTTACTACTGCACCTACCGCCTGCCCGTTTCCACTGTAGCGCCACGGGCAGGTGGTATTTCCAGCTTTTGAGCTCGAGCAGACATGAGTCAAAGACTGTGGTTCTCTGAATACCAGGCGGTAATTTACCCGGAGCGTAACTTTAGCATTGTTGATTTGCTCCCGTCAGTCGTGGATGAGGCGCGGAGAAGGTTGTTCTTTGGGAGGGAGGTACTGACAGTTTCATAAGTATCTTTTCAAGGATCTGACAGTGGGTGGACAGGGAGTGGAGAAGCATTGGAAGTATCTGCGTAGGCTTGGAATCGTCAAACGCAACCCCTGACAGGGGCAACTCCACCGAGGATTGGGAGTCCTAACACCAAATCAGTCCTGTAATCCAATTTTTAAAGGGGTCGAATGGCGAGGACAAGTAGGCAACCCTACCAACATGGTGCAGACCCGCCCGGTGTAACTTGCCCAGAGCTTGTCGGTACAGTAAAGTGACCAGTATATTTGTTTGCGGAGCTTGATCTCGACCTCGGAAAATCGATGAGTTCTTTCCAGCGTCGCAAAATCTAGATTCAGTCCCATATCCAGCGCCAAGCGGATGGCCATGCCATGGCGAAGCCAGCCCTTGGAGTCAGACCCGATCGCCTCAACCAAACATTAGATTTCAGCTTCCAAACAAGACGGGAACGGCGAGGAGAAATCCGAGGAGCTATTAAGCACTTACAACGTAAAATATGGCCATGATCCCAAGGGACTGGATGGTGGTGATACTCGGGGACCGGAGGTCAAAATGAAGCAGTACTTCGGCAACTTCCAAGAGACTTTCGCCTGCAGTGTTCGGGTCGTCCGGCGTGGAGTGCACTTCCAGTCTTTCCGAGTAGCGAGCGCCCATAGCCAGTATGCAATGGAGCAGCAATGGACTACAATATCGCCCCTCTTGGCGCAGGCTCTGTCGAAAAAGTTGCTCATCCACAAGCTGAAGCCACGGCTGCTCCCACTGGAAATAGAGCGCAATGAGATGTTCTTGTAGCTCCTCATCAACGGGAGGGACTAGATCAGGATCTTGAAGGAACCGGTTCAGGCCCGAGCGAAGCGAGGCGCGTGGTAAAGAGGCTAGTGCGGAGTTGCTGTGCACTGCAACAGCAGAAGCAGTGAAGCGTGGTCACGCTCGTCAGTCACGACTCAGATGGATCTCGGTTAGAGACATACAAGGAGTGGATTGCAGTAGTTCCACCCGCCCACTACTGGAGCCGAAGAAGCGCACCTCCTCCTCATCGCCGTCCTTGTCGCTCAAGCCGAACGGTCCATTCGCGCACAGTGCCCCAACGGGCTCCTCTTCTCTCGACTGTTGTTGGGGATGGGAGGGGGAGATCGATGGAAGATGCCCAGCCTTGAGCTGAGCGATAGATGTATCGACATCGATGGAATGGAGCCATAACACCTGCTCGAGCTGCTGGATGCGCGCTTGAAGCTGCATCACCAACGATTTCGGCGCCGTGCCACGGCTGTCATCTCGGGTGTTAAACACGCACTCCATGCCACGGTTTAGACACCGAGCACACGACGGCTTGTGACCATCACACTATAGAACAGTGAGCTAAGCTTGGTTTCGTCCTCCCGTACTGCATGTTGCATGATTTGCCTGAGGCTATACCTTTGCTCTCCGTCGCCGACATTCCTGACAAGCTTGTGCCGCATACTGAGCTCGGGGCGTGGCCGATCGCTTCTTTGAGTAGCGCTGTTGGCGATGTGCTTCCATTGACATCCTCATCAATATGTCACAGTTAGTCCGAGACTTTTGAACGAGTTGCAATGCTAGGGTGAGTGGAGACTCCGCAATTCGAAAGGAAGGAAAGTGACATGGAGGATATTCACTAATCGAGAACGGGGCAAGGTGATAGTGTCGATAGGAATTCATATTCCGGGCCCGGCGGCGAACTTACCCCAAGGGCCAATATTTAACCCTCATTCTCCAAAGAGTCACCTAGAAGACGTACTGCAAAATTAGTTTTTCACAAGACATAATCCTCTGTTCTCTCACTTCAACTCCAGTCATTTATCATCTACAATCCACCATTATGTCCCACTTTAAGTTCTACGCATACGAGGGCCATGGAGTCCGCCAACAGAAGGTGTTCCGCTACAGCCAAGCCGTCCGTGTTGGAGACCGGATCGAATGCTCTGGCCAAGGTAAGAAAGAGACTTCCAACCTTACTGTCCCAGGTACGAGACACTCTTGCTAATTCAGAATCCCGAAGGCGGCTGGGATCCCAAGACAGGAGAGTTTGAGAAAGAGATCAACGCTCAGATTGACCTCGCCTTCTCCAACGTAGAGCTCTGCCTCAAGGACGCTGGAGGCAAAGGGTGGTCCCAGGTGTACCGGGTCAATTCATACCATGTGCCCATCAATAAAGAAGCCCTGGAAGCAATGGTTCGCAACTTCAAGAGGTACATGCCAGATCATGAACCGCTCTGGACCTGTGTTGGGGTGACCCGTCTGGGCGAAGACGACATGCGCGTGGAGATCGAGGTAGTGGCCCATGACCCTTAAGATACCAAGGTTGCTGGCAGTGTATAGTGATAGCCAATCCCACACCTCTTAATGGCACTGTATTCTAAGCTGGTCTCTAAGTCTGTCATAGCGGACAGGTCATGTTCAGTAGTAAATATGCGAGATGCCAATAGCGTCCCAACGGGGCCGGGCAGAACAGGTGATATACATACACAATGATCTGAGAACGGCAAAAATTTATATAGATCTGGAAATATCATCTATGCGCTTGAAGAACGATCTAATCATGGTGATCTCCGAATCCCAGTGCTTTCCATGGGATAACAAAAACCGCACGTAAGGAAAAATATGTATCGGTGGTCTAATGGTCTAAGCGGTGACGTTGTACAGAGAGGACATTGCCTGTGGAGGTTTCGTTAGCTTTTACCGGTCCCGCACGCGCTCCAGAAAAGTCGAACTTACCGCAGCCTGCTTAGGCTCAATGAAGAGCGCCTTCGCCTCTACCAGGACTTTCGGCTCCTTGCCATCTTCCGGCAGCGTCTCGATGCGCGCCTCCACCCAGGCTTTGCGACCTTCCACCTTGACTGTCTCTGCTCGCAGCGCGACGTAATTACCCGCCATTGCGGGAAGGCGGTAATCGAGATTCAGGTTGGCGGTGACGCCGACACGGTTCGGCAGCGCGGGGAAGCAGCAGCGGCCCATTGCCTCGTCCAGTAAGGTGGCCAGGAGACCGCCGTGCACGATTCCGGGATGCCCGCAGAGGCTGGGGCCAAGGTAGAGCAGAGAGACTAGGCTCTTCCCGCCCTCCTCGCAGAACACCAACGGCGGCACGACGATCATCTCTGGCCCGGCCAGCGTTCCGCCCGTGAGACTGCGCGCGCGCATCTGTGCTGGCATCTTCAAGTGTGGGCGGGATTCGGTGAAGGCGGGGTCCTCGCGCAGCGAGACGGCCAGTGGGTGATTGCGAATATAGTCGTCTACTTCCTTGGTGAACTCATCGCCGGGGATGAAGGCGGAGAGGGTCTCCTCGTCGGTGCTTAGTCGGAGGTCCATCATGCCCGAGGCGGTCTTCAAGGTCTGGTAGGATCCTCCGGCGATGAAGGCAAAAACGGCGAGTGACGTGAAGCCAATAAAGCGGCGGAGACGGGATCGAGGAGGGGGAGGAGTGGCTGTATGGTTTGCAAACAGATGTGTAAGATTAGTTCGGCTGTTGATTCATGCTGATCGCATGGACGGGACAAACCTGTGGAAGAATATGCCCGACACGCTGGTTTCGGAGCCGGAGAGAAGCGAAAAGATAGTAAAGCTGTGTGATGTGAAGCTGCGGCAGGCAGACGAGAAGAAGATAAAGAGCGAAGAGGCTGTTGGACACTGCTGAGGATCGCAGTGGATCCCAGGCGAACTGTTGGGACCTGCGGCATGGCGGCGAGACTCTGCGAAAAAGCAGCGCGGGCAGGGGCAACAGAAAAGGGGGAAGCGGATGGCCTGGGAAAGAAAGCCGCAATGGATCCCTCGGACCGAACCAAGAACCCAAATTACTGGATTGCTGAAGACTATCGCCGTGAGGGTTGCGGATCCATCGAGAGTCGGCGCGACAGTGGAACTGGAACTCGAACTGGATGAGAAAGAGAGACCCGCTGCCAAATCCCCTCCAGAAGCTCCGCCCGCCCGCCCTGCTGATTGGTGCGGCGCAGCAGCAGGAGCCGAGGCTCATCGCTCTCGGAGGTTGAAGTATCGTAGTATAATTTCATCATCGTCATTCGGGAATTTTTGTTGAATTTGCTAGGCCAGAAATGATGGAGGAACGGTAGTAGGGAATAACGAGATTCATGGGAGGAGTTGAAGTAGCCAAAGTATTTGTAAAAGGAAATGTTTAGCTGTTTTGCAGTCACAAAGTCACTGGACCGTGGCTTGTCTGTAGTACAGTAGTACTGTACAACCAACCCACATGCCAATTCTCTCGTACTGTCAAGTACGGAGTACACAATGAGCCCCTCCCTCCTTTCGTCCAACCCCCGACAACTACTACTATTATTCTACCGTCATTGAGTCCCTCTCAATGCTTTTGACAGATTGTACGACATTCCTTGGATTTCTTATGGGCCGTGCAGAATTCAAAAAACACCCTGAACTGGAGTACCCCCCTGCAAGCTGATTAGCGCTTCTCTGCGGGAAGTGTGACTAGCGACTTCGCTTTGCACAATCTCATTGACTCTTCCAATGGAGCTACAATGGTTACATTGCATTCATGACCCTGTCAAGGCTGTCAGGGGCATTATGCTAGACCGGCAAGATGTACGCGCAGCTCTTTTTGTGGCAGGGGCAATCAGCGCGCCCCTTGACAGTCCGCGCCTGCATGCCAGAACGATTGTTCGTCTCGCTTTCAGTTCGCCCACACGCGCGCCTTATCCCTCGATTCATTCTTCCTATGGCACTCAAGATGGCCGTTTGGAGTTCGTTCTCGCTCCTCTTGATCCTACCTGTCGTTCTGGGCTCGTCTGACCCTGCCTCGGCAGCAGTTAATGACTACGATGTCCTGCAATACATCAATCCTCTCATCGGGAGTGCCAATGGAGGTATGTCCCGCCAACTCTTCCCAAATACTCTATCTTTCAAGTGTTGTTCTGACAATGTCAATTAGGAAATGTCTTCGCAGGCGCAACAATTCCCTATGGCATTGCCAAAGCCGTAGCCGATACAGATTCGGAAAACAATCAAGGGGGCTTTGCATTCGACGGGAGTCGTATCACCGGCTTCTCCAGTCTGCACGACTCAGGCACCGGCGGCCAACCCTCTCTCGGGAACTTCCCTCTGTTCCCATATACAACGTGCCAGAATGACGACGTGAATGGCTGCGTCTACCCAAAGAAGGAGCGAAAGACGGCTTATGACCCCTCTTCCGTCAAATCAAGTCCGGGATATTTTGGGTTGACAATGAGCTCTGGGATTCAGGTGGATATGACTACCACTCATCATGTATCTCTGTTCCGGTTCCGGTTTCCCGCCAATGTATCATCGAGTCCTCTCATCTTGTTGGATCTTTCCGACTTGTCCGACACGCGCCAGGACAATGGGACTATTTCCGTTGATGCCACGACAGGACGCATGACTGGCCACGCACGATTCTTGCCAAGCTTTGGAAGTGGCTCTTATGTGCCATACTTCTGTGCTGATTACCAGAGCGCGGCCGATATTCGAGACACTGGTATCTTTGTAGATGCGAGGGCTAGTAGTGATGTCAAGAACCTCACAATCTCACGCAGCATAAATGGCTACCCTCTTCCGGTATGATGCTTCAGCTACTGTTGGGTACTGGACTGACCAGTTTAGGGTGGTGCTTTTGTACGCTTCGAGGCAGCATCGGAAATCACGGTCCAAGCCCGCGTGGGCCTAAGTTTTATCAGTAGCGAGCAGGCTTGTCAAAATGCAGAGACTGAATTGCCCGACTTCGACTTCGATAAGACCCGTGCTGCAGCAGTCAATAAGTGGACAGAGAAGATGGCACCAATTAGGGTATCCAGAACCGGGGTGAATACATCTACCTTGACCAATTTCTACAGTGGGATCTACAGGACTATGGTAAATCCTCAAGATTACACTGGAGAGAATCCGTTATGGGAAAGTGAGGAGCCATATTTTGACTCTTTCTACTGGTAAGCAAGTCGTTTTGGCATTGGTTTCTCTTCTAACGTGTGCAGCCTTTGGGATTCCTTCCGATCTCAGCTTCCATTCCTGACAATCTTTGACCCTGCATCGTTAACTCGGATGGTTCGTTCCCTGATTGACACGCAACGGCATCTTGGATGGCTACCTGACTGCCGCATGTCACTCTGCAAAGGTAAGCACTGACGTGGTGAGGCGTCATCAATGCTGATAGAAGTGCAGGCTACACGCAGGGAGGCTCCAACGCAGATGTCGTGCTTGCCGACGCATACGTCAAGAACATTAGCAACGGGATAGACTGGGAAGCCGGGTATGCAGCGGTGCAGAAAGATGCGGAAGAAGAGCCGTTTGACTGGTCCAACGAAGGCCGGGGAGGGTTGCAGAGCTGGAAGGCACTGAACTACATCCCCGTGGAAGACTTTGACTACATTGGCTTCGGAACCTTAACACGGAGTATATCCCGCACGCTAGAATATGCCTACAATGACTTCACTATCGCACAAATGGCTCGCGGAATGGGCAAGACGAGCGATGCGGAAAAGTACGAAAGGACTGCAAAATATTGGCAGAATCTCTTCCGTGCAGATCAGACCTCATTTCTCAACGGCACGGATACTGGCTTCAAGGGATTTTTCCAGCCGAAATACTTGAACGGCACATGGGGATACCAGGTTCGTATATCGAATTACCACGTTGCCATGCCACAATCATCAATAGCCTCTCGATATAGCAAACTAATTGCCGGCTTAGGACCCTCTAACATGCTCCAACATCGACACAAGCGGCCGATCCTGCTCCCTGCAGAACAACGCCGCGGAGACCTTTGAATCCAGCATCTGGGAATATCAGTTGTAAGTCGAATTCTCGCTTGCGTAGCTTCTTCCATGAATCAATACTAAGACGAACCACGACGCAGCTTCGTCCCCCACGACATGTCCACCCTCATCACCCTCCTCGGCGGCCCCGACGCCTTCACCCGCCGCCTCGACTACCTCCACGACCGCGGGATCACCTACATCGGCAACGAGCCCGCCTTCCTGACGGTCTTCCAATACCACTACGCCGGCCGGCCGGGCAAGTCCACCGCGCGAGCCCACACCTACATTCCGGCCTTCTTCAACCCGACACCCACGGGCCTGCCGGGCAACGACGACTCGGGCGCCATGGGCTCGTTCGTGGCCATGACGATGATGGGCCTGTTTCCAAACCCCGGCCAGAATGTGTATCTGATCACGGCCCCGTTTTTTGAGAGTGTCAACATCACCTCCCCGCTCACGGGCAAGACGGCCCGCGTGCGCACGGTGGGCTTCGATCCGAGCTACCAGGCGGTATACATCCAGTCGGCAACGTTGGATGGACAACCATACACGAAAAGCTACGTGGGGCACGATTTCTTCACCGATGGGAGGGAGTTGATTCTCTGGCTGGGAAGGAATGAAAGTTCTTGGGGCCAGGGGGTCGGGGATTTGCCGCCTTCGTTGGGGACGGAGGGGGATGCAACGTTGAACTTTAGGTATGAATAAGGGCTCCTGCTCTCTCTCTTTCTCTCCCTCTTCCGCTCTGTGTGTGTGACAAACGTGTACGGTAGATAGATAGGTACAGTGTAACGGCTGTAGGTCTCTAGTATTTGGAAGGTCAGGGTGGTGGTGTGGAAATCGGTTGTAAGTGACAGTATACTTTCTCAGCACGTGTGACTTGTCCACCTTTGACATGAGGATTTGTACTGCTAGAACTGCAACACTAATGAACAGCATTGCTGCGAAAATCAAGCTACTTTTCTTTTCTACTTTAGATCTGAGTTGGCACTGCTTTTTATTCAGCCCGCTTGGGTACCTTATTTCTACAAAAGCGGTGGCACAAGCGGCTAGATAAGACTCACCTCACAAATACCAGACCGCACAGCGTGCCCTAAGATGTGGCGAGCCACGGGAATTTGTCTACGGTAGGCCGAGCGCGAAGCCGAAAAAAGCAGATTATTTTGTGAGAGGCTCATTCCCCGCACGCTTCTTTGTATATAAGTAGGAGACAACCATGTACAGTAACAGCACCCGAGGGAACAAAGAGAACCCATCCGACAGAGCTTGAATCAAGATGAGATACACTCTCCTACATGCCGGCGCGGCCCTTCTTCTTGCAGACGCTTCCGCCTTCCTAACAGCCGACTCTACAGGCAAAAGCCCCAAGTAGGTAGCTTCGCCCAGGGGCCATCCGCCAATCCATTGGCAGCGCCCTGGACCCGAAGACTGTGAGAGTTATTGAAGTTCAAAGTAGGATACCATGCTTTCCACAAGTCTCGTCTCGACTGGTGCTAATGGAGCTTTCAGATTTAAAACTTGCCCTATTTCCAAAAGCCCCGTTCCCGTTTCAGAAGCATTCCCTCAAGTCCGCTTCAACAAAGTCACACAGTCATCTTTCCTGCCCTCCTCGACCTCCTGGGCAGGAACACTATCACGACTCACCGAATGCACCTCCAACTGGAAGTCTTGCGCAGCATCAACGTAATACGCATTCTGCTGGATCTTAGGCAGCAGATAAGCCGGATGCAGGAGATTGTACACCCAGACCGCCGGCACCATCATCGCGCCATCCAGGCCAATCAGCAACTTCTCATTCCGCATCGTCGCGCTGGTCCATCCGTGCAGCAGCTCAATCGTCCGGTACACACTCCGGATATAGATCAGCAGCAGGGAGAAGACGGTCGCGCCACCGAGGAAGAGCAAGGGAGTATTCGAACGGATGATCGCATGCGGCTTGTGTTGCTGCTTGGACAGGCGGAGCACGAAGTCGGTGGCCAGGCCCACGAAGAGGGTAATGGACACGAGTTGGAAGATGATGCCCCCGACCATGATGTGGGTGCCTGTCGTTTGGCTGCTGCTGCTGTTGGAGCTTTCTGTTGCGCGCGCAAGGAGGCCTCTTGCGTGTGCAGAGGTTCCGGATCCTGTCGATGTAGAATTGGAGTACGATGAGCCTGTGGTGGTTGCGGTTGTGGTACCGCCCGCTCCGCCTGACGAGGCCATTCCGCCGCCGGCACCTTGGACTCCCAAGGCAATCACATCACAGATACAGAAAATCCAGACGTAGAGTTTTGGCGGCATCAGGGAGGAGTGGCGTCCGAATGTTGAAACGAGTCGGGCGAGGATGACATATATTCCCGCGGTGAAGAAGGTAGGGGCTGTTGAGTTCGAGTTTAGGATTATCCAGTTAGCGTCTGATCCAGAGGGCAAAGGGCAAACATTCCCGACACGCCCAAGTGAGGAAGAGAGGGTGTGGTATTTACCAATGATCAGGGTGGTTATTTGCATCATATAGGGTGTTTGGGCGTAAGGACATTTCGCGGACCAAATTCGTGCTGCCCATCCTAGTAGCTCAACTGGTATATGTGTGAGTTTCGCCAAAGATGAGGAAGCGTGTGTACATACCTAAACAGCCGATCGAGAAGACAGCGCACCACCATGCACGATAGTAAATCACTTGTGCGGTATGGATCAGCATCGAGAGGCCGAAGAAGGTCACAAATAATGATGCTGCCGTGAGTGAAGGTACATAGCCGTAGGAAGTTTCAACCCCAGCCACATATGCGTGGCATGTGTCTTGACTATAGCCTTCCATGATCAAGTTTTTGAGAACTGATCAAGCAATTCTAATTGACAGGGGTGATAAAATAGTCCAAGATTGACGTGAGGACAGGAAGTATTTAAGGGAATGTGGGACAATCGTTCATCCATGATTGATGCTGTTTGAGTCGGGTCTGCATACGGGTTCCATTGGGTAAGTCGCTGCCTATGAACGTTGTTGTCATGCATCTCCAGACCAAGTATAGTAGAACTAAGGAGGGCAAGTAGCGATGTTCCGTACTCGTGTTCCATTTTTGACCAAAACGGTTACGGCCAACGTGTTTGCGAGGTCCACTGGAACCCTTGCGGATCTGGAACCCTATCAAGCCGCGCGGTCTCTTCTCCACTGCAAAGCATAGGTAGAATAACCTATATATAACAGTAACAAGTCTCACCTGTTCCCCTCTAGGCCCACTTTTGGCCATTGACAAATACAATCGAGAAGTTGATCATATTTGCCTAGATGTCACTTCATCCGTCACGGTCTTTTGTTGTTTCACCATAGAGTACAGTACAAACAGTCCCGCGCGCAGTAAGAGTTAGCAGAGTTGCTGGTAACGTTAGCGAACACCGTACTGAGGGGAGGCAGAAACATCTCTCTGAGTTTCTTGCTATATATATATGATCATATACACCGTCCTATTCACAAGAAAAGCACCTATACAAAACTGCCTTTCCACCTCCCTCCTTAGCAGCGTGAGCTTCACAAAAATATCTACAAATCGATAAAGTATCTCTAAAACTTATATTCACAAATCCACAATCCGAATTTCATCGATAGGCCATCTCACCCACACCCGATCATCCTTCCCCAGGAAAGTCCATATCCCCCGTAAGATATGCTCCGGCCACCCATGCGAGACCCACGTCTTATCCATTCGATACATAAGCACCACAAAATGCGCTAGAATCACCAACGCCACGGGCCGTTTCTCCTGCAACGCATCCCAGAACAACTCTTCCATCTGCGTCACCCACGTAAACAGGACGAACGCAAATGGTTCCGGTCTAGTTGCTGTTGCTGCCACAAGCCCAGAGATAAGGTGATCATCTTCAGTTCGACCGGGAAAGGCCATTTGAAATGCTCGGAGAGTGTGCTCAATGGCCATTCGATAGGTGGGTAACAGGGGATCCGCGGCTGCCCGCTCTTCGGTGAACTCGCACACTCGGGTGAGGGCTTCTTGATACCCAGTGCAGGGGGTACCGGCAGCAGCGGGGGTTTGGAATGGATGCCCTTGACTTTCTGAAAGATTTTGGTGCTGCTGCTGCTCTTCGCTGGAGGCAGCAGCAGCACGCCCCTTGCGTAACATGGTGGAGATGGTGTTGACCCCGCGCAGCAGCGTCAGCCACTCTACGGGGGCGGCGGCCCCGCCGCGGTTGAAAAACAGATACTCCTCGGCTCGGGGCCCGCGGGCCAGGCTGATGAAACACACGAGAATGGATCCGATCCCGACCGCGTCGGCGCCATGATTCGCATTCGCGAGGGCCTGGGGTTGAGACAGTCCATTTGACAGCAGCTGCAGACCAGTCCCGTAGTGGTAGTCAAAGCGCAAGGGACAGCAATTGCGATTGTGGTGATGTTCCTGCTCCGTGCTCCGAATCATATGCAGACAGGCGAGCGCGAGCATCAAGTGATGAACGATGGGAAATCTGAATGCCGTGCGCGGCACCACGGATTGCCAGAAGGTAAGGCTTGGGGCGTCTTCCATTAGGCTCAAGCATGTTGATGAGAGGAAAAAGTGCTGGAGCTCGAAATCTTCGAGGCAGAAAGCTGGATCTGTGGACACAGGTTCACGGTTTTCTTCAGCCGGACGTGCAGCAGGGGCAGCAGGGGCAGCAGAGACGTTCACATAATTAAACTCAACGAATTGGATCTTGAAAGTGTTTATTCCTGGAGGCTCTGCTCTTGCTCTTGAGGTTTTTCGAGTGTTCGCCACGGCTGGTTGGGCGTCCTTCAGGGATGGGCCATACATGCATTGGACTGAATGGTTGAGGCAGTTTGAGCACTCAGGCTTCATCTCATCGCACTGAGATTCGATTAGCGTTCTCTCCGAGACTTTTCTAGTGAAGGATATGCAATACCTTGACGTGCCTGCTTTTACAAGTCCTACACCCATTCCGCGATTTGCGGTGGGACTTTCGTGGCATGACAAGCTTGGGTGCTGAGTTAGGGGACGAATCTGAGCCGCCCATCAACAATGGATATTCGACTTGATTTTGACATCATGGTCAGGAGAACGAGTATGAGCCGTTAAAAAACTCCTGGAATATGCAGAAGCTACAAGTACTGAAAGTAACAGTTAAGAACCATGGATTGATTGGGTGACATATCTGGTTAGCAACCCGGCCACGTAAGCAAGCAGGCTCCGCAACTGAGGCAGTGTAACTATCCATTATTTCACCTAAAACTCCTACATTTTGGAGCCATCTACCATAATTAGACACCTCTGATACATAACTTAAAGAGGTTTACTGTAACTCTGAAGGTTCACCGCCTACAAGGCATAATCCAGCCTGCTGGTTGAGCAACAACAAAGGATACATACTGCAGAGAACTTAGTTACTTCTTAAGAGCAGTCCTCCCTCTTCGCCCGCCCCTCCTCTCTCAACACCTCAACCCCAGCACCACCATGCAACCCCACCACGCCGATCTTATTCGTAGTCTGAACGAGCTCTATACCCTACTATATCAACTCGGGGCCTATGAAGAGGCCAAGATTCTCCGACCAGAGGGCAGCAGCATAGGAGGTCGACATCCTGAGGGCGCTATTAACAGCTCTGTGGCTCTGGCCGCCAGATTCACTCCGGCCGTGGTTGATGTGATGTACCAGATTCCATATCTCGATGTGGGGGTGCTGAGTTTCCAGATCTGCCCCAACACCTTCTCAATTAACTATCGCAGTGAGAAGGATTCCGACCAAGGGAGCTTCGAGGCATGGCGATCGACCTGTTCTCCAGAGATCGAATTGCCTGAGAACACGGTGGCTTTGACGCAAGCCTCGGGCGGGGGCAGGGTTTGGCTCTATGATGTGGGGACTGGTGTGTCTTTCTTCCTTTTCTTATGGCTCGCTAACTGTATCGATTTTGTTTAATCTCTATGGACTAATGCTGACTGACACCAGGACTTATGCGCGACTGGGATTTGGAGAGTGAGGAGGATCCCCTCGTAGTACCGGTCGATTTGCCCTCCAAGGTTCTGGCGCCCTATATCGAAAAATTTTGGAGTCTGCACTATCTGATCATCCCAACGGGATTGAGTTCTGCGTGGGAGCTGTTTATGGCTGGACAGCCGCCCGAGGACTGGGGTCCCTGGGACCGGTTGGATTGGTATATCGACTATGGGGAGTGGAAAGCGACCCGGTATATCAAGCAGATCTATCTTCAGTATGGCTGGGAAGTCACTCCCGGGATGTCTCCATCACAGGAGCAGTTTCGACGAACGGACTTTCTGAGAGCGAGGGACCAGTATTGGGCAGAGGTGGTTGTGCCCCTCGGCGAGGCGACGGAAATGTTTCGAAGACAGCGGATGGTAGAGACGTTGTGAGAATTGAATTCAACCTTGCTCCCCGAGCTGGATCGGGAACCAGAAGTCATGGGCACGTATCCCCTGGAATTGCGCGCTGATTGCACGTTCACGCTCGACAGCCGACTGCTCTTTGAACCTCGCCGCCTCGTTCAACCCCATTGGCCAATCGCCTGTTTTGCATATGATGAGGTCTCTTAGCTCCTGTGGCAAGCCAAATTGGGCGCCGACTTGGTCGAACGCTGCGTTCTCTCTCCACCAGATATGCTGTTGTAGTGGCACGTTGCGGGAGGAGCAAATGCGGTAGCGCGGGTCGACCAGCCAGATAGTAATAAAGCACTGGTGACCCGGGAGATCAGGGTCTCGAAGTGAGAAGGGCAGTGTCCGATATCGCAGGGTGTTAGGCCAGGCTAGGAAGCATTCCTGGTAGGCGGCAGTTACTGATCCTCAAGTCTGTAGCATCGGAGGGGCGTCACCGTAAGTCGCTGGGTCTTCGTCCGTCCGGGGCAGACCAAAGATCTTTTGCATCGCATGGGGCTCTAGGATAATCTCGAACGCGTCCAGGTCGACCTCTTGCTGGAAAGAGTCTTCGTCAAACACATCGATCGCCCAGTTCTGCCGCTCGGTCAGCAGCTCCATGATGCGTAGCATGCGGACCTCAGGCTGGGTCAACCGGGTTGCTCGACCTCGGCTTCCAGTCCAATTCGGGAGAGCTCCGTGTGCAAAGCGTTGACCGGGGGGGAACTCATAATCCACTGGGATGTCGTGGAAGCCGGGGACCTGGGGCTGGCTGTGCCCTATGTTGTCCCATTGAATGGATGTCATAGATTGTGCTGTAATGTAGGCTGGTCGAGACACCATATGTCAATGCAGAAAGATTAGGAGGAGCAGGAAGAGTGAAGACTCTGAGACGGCGTGAGAGGCTAGAGCCGGATGCAGGTATAGTGTGCCCTTCACCATAGCCACCGGCAACGACGGCAGCCCACACGCTAACTATTTAGTGGTCATGGTTCTTATATCGGGTATTGATGTATTACAGTTGTATGTGTCACGATAATTCACATGGTCTTAGAATCGCTGACTCGCACTCGAAAAGTAATCTTAGATCTATGAGATGTTGGTAAGCGGAAGGCACTATATATGGGCGAATGGCAAAATGGCCCTTTAAAGATGTGCGCTTGACTGCATGCCTCCTTCCTTCGTTATGAAATAGCGACTTACTATGCCTCTCTCCATTCAACCTTGACGCCTCCCCCCCCCCCCCCCCCAAGCCCATTCATTCATTCCAAGTCATGAAATTCCCCTTCCTGCATCTACTCGCTCTCTTTCTGTGTAGGGCACGGGTATTGCCCGCCTACAGCGGGACCACCGAAGTATAGCCCTAACCGTCAGGGCGAGAGATCACGAACCTCTCCACCACGAGCTGTTCGTGCAGTCACCAGGTTCCACAGGCCACGGATACCGTGGCGGCAGGTGATCTGGTGATTGCCCGACCCGGCGCACTATCATTTAGTCTACGTGGCCCAACATCCAGAACCCGACCAAAGCTACCTAAGTTCTAACCCTCACGCAGGATCCTGATCGGCTCCGGGCGGGGGCGATGCGGATATGAATAAAGTTATAGATATTTGCTTCCATTTCAAACCTTGAGGTGATGGAAGCGTTCGATTATCCTATCTTTTCACGAAGATGAAAAAGTTCTTTTGGCCTCATCGTTGGATAATGTACCGCATTGCATTGCAATGCGCACAGCATACACTGGGAAAGAAGCCCGTTCGGTCATACACATCTATTGTCGAAAGACCGTCCCTCAACCCCTTTTTCAGGGAACATGAAATGCAGACCCAAGGGTGATACCCAAAACTCCCCATGCAAACATTAAAAAAAGAATATAGTTCGTCATTCTGTCTTCATGCCCCTCGCTCGCCGCCCCAGAAAAGAAGACACACACAGAAAGGGAAGAGAAAAGGAAAGAATGGACATCATTTCAGCATTACCCATTTGAATCGAAAGAAAAGTCCCACCAAACAGCTTTTGTATATGTGGGGGGCGGCTGGTGAATCAGGTCATAACCCACTCAAGGGTGGAAGTAGCTTTAGAAAAAGGTTCATGTTGGGTTGGCTTCTGCATTTTGGCATCTCTGCATCTTTGCATCCGCTTTCTGCTATATTTTTACAAGCCTGTGTCCGCACATGAGAATGGACTCCCGACTGTTCCTTCTCGGTAGCTGATGATCACACTTTCGACGGAGGCCTGTTCGAATATTAGTTTTTCTTCTGCGGAGAATAGGCGTGATGGTAATGAACTGCGCGGTTCCAAGGACGGGGCAAAGGAGGGACGAGAAAAAAGAGGGTGAACCTACATAAGTACCCGGTCCCAAGAGGAACAACCCCGCGAGAATCAACCCGACATTCACGACAAAACCCAACCAGCCTTTCCACCCGCGATTCTTATAGAATCCTGGCCCGTATTCCTCGCGGCGCATGCGCAGGTACGCCGTACCCCAGAAGATGAACCCGAAGAACGAATCGAACAGGGCGCTCATGATGGACTCTAGATCGGAGAAGAAGGGGATGACCTCTGCGATAATGAAGGCGGCGATCCAGAGACAACACAGAATCCCGGCCCAGGCGGCCCAGCCGACGACGGTGTGGTTGCCCTTGTGGCGGGTGCCGTCGAAGAGGCGGAAGAAGAGGAAGCGGGCGGAGACGGAGGCGTACAAGACGCCCAGAAACACGAGTGTGGGTATCATGAAAGAGAAGGAGACCTTCTTGTAAGTTTCGTTGCCGAGGGAGCCGAATGCGGGCGAGGTGATGTATTGGTTACCGGTGTAGGCGTACACGATGGCGCCGACGAGGGAGAAGACGATGATCTCCGCGATGGTAACGGCGGTGACGGACTTCCAGAAGTCCTTGGGCTCGCGCATCTCAGCAATGAAGCTCGGAAGCGTGATCTGGCCGATGAAGGTGTAGCTGATGTTGAGGAATGCGCTGACGCCCGAGACGAAGGTGGTACCGGCCACCGGCACAGCGGTCACGATGGGGTCGCCCTTGGCCGGAGTGTAGCCAGCCGGGTGGTCTTCGATGGCGGAAAAGATAAGGGCGAGCATAACGGAGATAAAAGTGGTAAACGCGGAGAGGGTGGCCACCTTGGAGAGCGCGTCGAAGGTCCGCGGGAGGGAACAAACGAATGAGATGACCGCCGTCACAACGGAGAAGACGATTGTACAGGCTCCATGTCCGGTGATCGTGTTGAGATATTCTGCGCCAACGAGGCAATGGAGGCCCTAATGACAATTAGTTTCAGAGCTGGCAAGGTCTAACATGCAATATTGTCTCTACCTGAATGAAGGTGTTGTTCAGCAGGAACATGACAGCCGTCAAGTACCAGACCACCTTCGAATCCCAGAAAATCATCTGCCCGATGTCGCACACGTCGCGTACGTGAGGATGTCGCAAACAGAAACGCCTGAATATGTGAGCTATATCCTGCGGCGCGCTTGAGTCTACGTGACGTACCAAATGATCAACGAAGTATACAGCACAGTCAAGGCGATAAACACAGTCAAGATCAACCCAGGTACTAACCCCAGAACGGAGTAGGACCAGGGAAACGACATGATAGCCAGACAGATATACTCGGAGAAGAGCAGCGCCGCCGTCTAGAGACCAGGGCTCATATTAGCACGAATACTCACTTCCCAGTGATAGCTTTGCGGCCACGCACCTTTTGCCAACTACATGTGCGATACTTGATCGAGTTCTCTGCCTCCATTTGAATCTGTCTGCCCACTTCCCCTTCAGAGTCCGAGCTCGACCCGGGCTGTAATTTCTGGCTCTCCAGGTCCGCATGTTTCGTCTCGTCGGTCAGACTGTGCTCGGGGACAGAGGAGCGACCCGTGGGCTCGGGAACGGTGGACTCCGCCATTTTATGGAGCGGACAAGCCGCTGGTGTAGGGAGCGAGCGGGGATGGAAGCTGAAAATAGGAGGGAAACCTTCGGAGGCATGTACTGCGCTTGGAGGGAAAGAAGAGTCTGGTTTTGTGGGAGGAGAGCCTTAGTCGCGGCATCAGCACATGGAAAGAGTGTGGGGAAATTTACCTTAGACTGAGGGAATGACTGACTGACCCAGTCAGTGACTGACAAGCAATGGAAACAGCACTCTTGTGAAGAACTGAAAACCAGAAGTAAGTTATCAGAGTGAGGGAAGTAGAGATTGCGCAGGAAAGATGCAAGAGCCGGGCAGCTGAAATCTTTCCACCCACTGACAGACAAACGGACGGAGAGACAGACAGACAGAAAGACAGACAAGAGGGTGCGCCGATCGCCCCGGGTCGAGGCTAGGCTAGCCCCGAAGGAACAGGCAGAAAGTTCCCAAGCAGTCAATCAATGAGCAATAAGATGAAATAAAGACTGGTTGCAATCTCCGATCCCAACTAAGGTTGTTCCCTGTTCGGATTTCGCAGCGACGGACTCGGAAGTTCTGCTTTCATGAGATGACGTAGCAGGCCCATCCCGCGGAACAACAACAACAACATACTGCAGTATGTATGGCTGAACATTGACAATTGAGTTCCGTAGTAGGGTTTGGAACTGGTGAGTATTGCTATAGTAATGTTATTCGTAGCCATTGGCACGAATATATCGAGTAACAAGAACTTCCAGCAACCGTTTGTCTTTCTCCATAGTGCTAAAACTACTCGGTACAGTTTCCTCCCCGCCCGCCGCACTCGGCAATTCCCCGCCCCACACCAGTTGTCGGACGCTCTCTGGGGCGGATGGACCCGATCAGCATGCATTTCCTTCTTAGTCTGACCTCCGCCCCGCATTCGGCCTGTTGACATTCCACTGGACTTGCTCGTGCAGAGATAATAGTTTATGCTTGAATCTCAATTTCAATAGTTCTACCGCTGAAACAGCATTCCAATGATACCAACATCGACTGTGCAAAGCGCATCATGCGATCATTGCTCTAATAGTTTCGAAGGATTTAATCCCAGTCCATAGTGGAGCCTATCAGAAATCTCTGCTGACCAGGGCTGCATCAAAGAAAAAAATCGAAAAGTAGGAAGAGGGGCAACGGAAGTCGGACCTCGAATTAACCTCTAGCACGCTATGCGTTAGTTGATGGCGTGCTTCCAAGGTTGTTGTTTGTTCACATCGCCTTTCCACGTGTGAGATGTCGGGCCTTACCATGTTTCTCCATGCACACACCCCTCCAAAACAACCAGGTTACTCGCCCGGGTGGCGGGAATGTCCGAATCGAGCAGATTGATTTTGGCTGGGAAGAAAAACTGGCCGAGTGTGGCTGAACGCTATGATGTCATCCGCCCCGACCGAGTGGGTGAAGCGCAGCGCCACAATCCCGCACTAGTGGCTGGCACTGCCAACGGGGCTGCAATTCTAGACCGTCTCTACTGTCACTGTTCCTATGAAGTTCATATGAATGTTTACGTCTGACTGATGAGATGCGCCATGTGAAACTTATGAAAGTAAAAGAAATACTACATAGAGCTTTTGTGGTATCTGCAGGATGCGATTGACTTAAATACAACAAGAACCTGGGTTTCACATACCCTCGTCTTCCCCGGCCAGCAGGGCCGCATAATCCTCCATCGACGCGAAGGTAGGCAGGTGCTTGAGCTTGCGCCGCTTCTTGCGCCCACTGTCCTTCTCCTTCTCCTTCTCGTCCTTGGACGCACTCGGCAGGTGAGCGTCGAGCTCCACGTCCGACGGCAGCTCTTCGTCGCTGTCGATGAACGCCTCCTCGTCCGATACGTCCATGTCGAACACATCCTCGTCGTCCGAAGGCTCCTGCTCTGCCTTGGCCTTCTTCGTCTTCTTGGCCGGGGCAGGGACCTCGTCGATGTCCTCCATCTCGTCGTCAGAGTCGAGGTTGATCTCCACTTCATCGTCACCGCCGGCGTTTTCATCGTCGCTCTGGTCGTAGGCAGACTCCAAGTCGTCCAGATCCAGGTCGTCGTCGTCGCTGACACCAGCTTCCAGGTCAGGCCGAGAGTCCACCAGAGCCTTCCAGATCTCGGACTCGGCGTCGCTGAGCTCGCCGTCCTCGTCCTCGTCACCCGCATCCTTGTCGGCCTTCTTCTTGCGAGCCTTGTCCTTCTCCTGGCCCTTGCCGACCCGGTTGAAGTACTCGTGGAAGAAGACATCCTCCGCCGCCACATCTTCCGCCTTCTTCTTCCAGAAGGCTTCCGAGTTGAGCGGCAGCTGCGCGCCAGTCTTGACGGCGGCGACAAGGCGATCCTTGGCATCGCTGCCGGCAAGAGGCTGCATGATCGAGGCTCCACGGGTGGCCGCAGCCGCCTTGGGAGTGCGGTAAACGAAGCGGTCGAGGAAGTGGGTGAGAGTATGGATAGTCAAGTCGGGCTGTCCGCTCATCACCTGGTGATCAAGTAAATGAGCCGCGTTGACCGAGACGGAGGGATGGAAGTGAGACAGGTAGGGCAGCTGGAAGTCGAAAGTCAGTGACTGCAGAATAATGGCCAAATAGCTATACGTACAAGTTCCCAGAGACACGTGCGGTCGGCGTTGCTGTGCTCGGGGTCTCTTTTACGGGGGTCGTAACGAGTAGACGGCTTCTCGGGTTTGGTCTCTTCGGGCTGTTCTTGAGGCTCATCGTCCTCGTCAGGAACGTCCCGGAAGACTTCCTCCTCATCGTCTTCGTTCAGCTCGGGCTGGTCAAACAAGGCGCGGAGATCGGGGAACGTCTTCTCCAGCTCACGAATCAAGTAGAAGACACCGCAAATGAATGCGGGTTGGTGCATTCCGAGGATTTGAAGGAGACGCTTGACAAAGGCCTTGACACGGCGAGTGTTTAAGTCGTTCTTCAAGGACTTGAACAACAAATTGAGGTAAAGGGATTGCTTGGAGGACGTTGCCAGGCGAGGATCAAGCAGAGATTCGTACAGAGTCCGGTAGAAGCGATCCGCACCGACCTGGTGGGAGGCCGTCAATTGCTGGATCAGCATAAGGGCCTGGATACTCGTGTTGAAGTTGGAAGAGTGCGTGATGCGGAAAAGAGTGCCGAGGTGCTTCGTCAGGCTGATCTATGCGTTAGCTTGGTCATGATGCACAGAGAATATAATACATACCGTTCACTGTCGGAGCTTGTAAAGGGATAAGCTCGGTTCACACCGGTCAAGACCGCGGATGTCAACTTGTCTTGCATTTCTTCAGTTTGCGCCTGACCCTTATCGTCGTCCTTGCCCTTGCCCTTGCCCTTAGTTCCGTATTTGCCATTCCTCTTGCCCTTGTAGCCCTTGCCCTTGTCTTCCTTGGCAGGCTTCAATAGCGAAACGAAGAGGGCAAAATAGATGTCGAGCAATTTCTCAGCAACCTTCTCCTCCCTGAGACTCAGGACCGTCTGGTTGAGTGAGATGATAGCGTAATACTTGGCGTGCTGGCTTTGACCAGGCCGGAAGAGAACTTCCTCAACAGCTGAAACAATTGTGGACTTCATGAGAGGATGCGCCTGTTCGAGTTGCAAAAGTAGGTAAGAGGCCCGCGAGGCAATCTTCTTAGACGTGTCACCAAGCTTGTTCACCAACAGGCGCAACAGATTCGTCTCCTGCTCAGGCTTCTCCTTCAACAATTCGTAGACGTAGCTGACAGCGCGAGAGCGAGAGAAATCGATCTCGTCGTTGCACCAGACTTCAAGAATCTTGAGAACCTCGAAGTACTGATCCTTTAGGAAATGTTCGTAGGCCCAGACAATCAGGTGGCTGTTCTGAAGACCATTGGGGAGAGCATCTCCCTCAGCCCAGCGGTTGCTCACACCTTGCAAGGCAGCCACAAGCGATGGCTGGTTGGCGAAGGCCCGGAGTCTGCGATCGCTAGGCAAGATGGTTCCCTGGGCGAACATATCTTTGAGCGACCGAAGAACTTCAACGGCCTGAGCACGACTGCGCTTCTTGCCAAGGGCAATCAAGTTTTCCAGAGCCTTGCTGTTGTGAAGGGGCGATTCTTGTACGGCAAGCGTCAAAGCGGAGATCTTATCGCTGAGCGTACCAGTGGACATAATAGTACTGTAGAACTTGTGGGACGAAGAGGCAGAAGCTGCTTGCGCATCTGCGTATTCTTTAGCCTCCTTTTCGAGAAGCGAGTTTGCGTAAGTGTGGAATCGCTCGATCAGGTGGCGGGCTACAGGGTTCGATTCCTTCTTCGCAATGGGTGGAAGTTCGATCATGAACCAGTCGGACCTCGGAGGAACGGACTGATCGTCTGGTCAGCATGTTTTGCCGGAAGCATGGATGAATTGACTCACCAATTTGGAGAACTCCTTGGGGAAGATGTTCTCAGGAGCGGCCTGCTTGGCGGCCTTCTTGTCGTCCTTCAAGGCTGGCGTGGGAGGTTCATCCTCTGAGGCCTCTTCTTCGTCCTCTTCCACGTCCTCCTCGTCATCTTCAGCTTCGACCTCCATGCCTCCAGTCTCTTCATCGTCGTCTTCCTCTTCCTCTTCCTCCTCCTCCTCCTCCTCTTCTTCTTCTTCAACTTCATCGTCTTCAAGGTCCTCCGGAACCACCTGACCTGCAGCAGCCAGCATGCTAGCCAGCTCCTTCCTCAGAAAGTCGTCCTCAGACTTGCCCTTGGATTTCTTCTCGGTTGCATCCTCGACCTCGGATTCGGAGTCGACACCAGCCAAGAGATCCAAGTCCTCTTCCGTACCCCCAAGGGCCAGAATCTCCTGCATCAGAACATCGTCACTATCCTCCTTGCTCTTGGGCTTTCCCTTTCCGATGTCCTTCTTCGCCTCCCCAGCAATCACATCACCATTGCGATCGCGCTTCTTTCCCTTGTTGTTGTTCTTATCGTCGGCGGACGCCTGCTTCGGCTGAGGTTTCGACGCAACCGGCTGGTTCTTCTTGGGTGTATCAGCCGGTGCCGACTTTCCCTTGCCGTTCTTCGACTTCTGCTTGGCGTTGTTTTGATCCTTCAAGCGCTGTTCGATCTTCTGTCGCAAGCCGGCGAATGCACTCTCCTCCAACTGGGGGAGAGACTCGGCGGCAGGGGTGGATTTTTTGGCGGCAGCACCGCCACCAACACCCTTACCTAGAGGGATGTTGTTCGCTCCAGAGGAGGAGGCGCCTTTGCCCTTATTGCCTTTGGCCATATTGACAGGGTGGGATGAATGGCCAAAATGCTTGCTCTCCTTCAACTTTTTTTCTGCCGCCCAAAAAATTATGGGGGGTCCGCTTCTTCCAGGCCGCCGGAGAAATGGGCGGGCCGATTTGCCCGTGGTTACTGGCTGTGCCCGATGCTCGGACCACGTCAATTATTCCCATTGGGTTTAGTGCCTGGGCCGATAAGAACCGCGCCTCTTTCTTGGGGATTGCGCGCATTGCCAGCGGAGATTGTGAATATCTCTCCCCGTTGGAAAACACCTCGAGGCTGTGCTTCGGGATTTTGAGTCTTCATGATCTCGCGCATACGCCCTACAGTGGGCCGAGCGCCCGGAGTTTCTCGAGTGCACCTTAGCGTCACTCCACTCGGGTATAGAACGTCCAAAAACGCCTTTCATGTATGAGGTATCTTCCGCCATTGCTTGTATAAGATCTAACTAGTCATGCTGTCAGACCGATGGCAGGACTCGGATATCCAATTTTTGGATTCCAACGGGAGGTATCACGAAGAAGCTGGTTGAGGGTGAAAGAGGTACGCTACTAAATTGAATCATCGATCACGTTCTATGAAATTGACGCTACACAGAGGACACAAATGACCTCCTAGTGAGGGGTGGCTTCTTACGACAGGTACTGTCAGGTTTCGTCTTGGCAATTACTGGGCTAATCAGGTGCATAGGCGTACGCGGGCATCTTTCACATGCTGCCATTGGGTTTGCGCGTGCAGGATAAGCTTGAGAGACTCATAGATAAGCACATGCAGTCAGTCGGTAAGTCTACGGCATCATGATTGTTATGTTCTACTGAGACGTCTAATGTGTGACAAATAGGCGCATCTAAGGTGTCACTCTCGTCTATATCATCTCAAGAGCTCTGGGAGCAATCGGGACGCCTCAAAGAGGGGTCGGATGTAAGCCTCTTGCTTTCTTCTCAGCTGTGAGCTCCCCCTAATTAACCGGCAGGTCTTCCGTTTTCTTGATCGCAAAGAAGCACGCTTCATCCTCGCGCCCACTCATGAAGAGGAGATCACGACTCTTGTCGGAAGTCTTACCAAGTCGTACCGAGATCTGCCCGTGCGTGTGTACCAGATTTGTCAGTAAAACTTTCCCACGCTTCTCGACCAAGTCTAATCGTAGAATAGCGAGAAAATACAGAGATGAGCAGAGACCCCGGCAGGGTCTTCTTCGCGGTCGAGAATTCATCATGAAAGACATGTACACGTTCGACTATAGTCCCGAGACCGCTCTCCAGACTTACGTGGCTGTCAAAGGCGCCTACACACGGCTCTTCGACGAGCTCAAAATACCCTACCTGGTCGCTGCTGCGGACTCGGGTAGTATGGGCGGGAGCCTGAGCCACGAGTTCCACTTCCCCAGTGCGAAGGGTGAAGACACAGTCATCAGCTGCACCAGTTGCGACAATGTGTACAACGAGGAGCTCGCGGACGGAAAGGCTCACGCTGGCGTGGACGAACAGCCTCAGACTCATCAGAGACCTGGCTTCGACACCGGTGAAAGCTCGGATGAGGCCACGCCCGCCGTGTCAGTCGGCCTTTGGATGTCCATCTCCAAAGACAAGAATACGCTGCTGCGGTGCTGGTTTCCGCAGTACACCATCCAAGACACCCCTGTGGAGAGGGAGGTGAACTCCCACGCTGTCAAGTCCATCGCCGAGGCCGCTGGGATGGAAATCGACATCAGCGTCGAGAACCCGCTCCAGCAATGGGCCACGCACGTCAAGCTCCACAAGGCTTCCGCTCAGCGCCCGCGGATCGTGGATCTGTATGACTCGCGCGTGCGCGCATACAAGCGCCCCCCGCTTACCGACACATTGGAGGAGGTCGGCTGCACAGCGGAGGACGTGGATTTCTCGAAGCTGGATCGCTTCCCAGGCACGAACAGCCATCTAAACTTGGTGCGGGTCCACGAGGGCGACCGATGCGCCAAGTGCGGCGAGGGCCTGGCACAGACGCACAAGGCAGTCGAGCTCGGTCACACATTCCATCTAGGCACCCGCTACAGCGATGTCCTCAAGGCCACCGTGGTGGTCGACCAATCTGCTATGCCCAAGAACAATGACAGCAACAAATCCGGCCCCCAGACCGTACCCATGGAGATGGGGTGCCACGGAATTGGCGTCTCGCGCATGATCACCGCGGTAGCGGACAGCCTGGCGGACGGCAAGGGACTGAACTGGCCTCGCGTCATTGCACCGTACGAAGTCATCATCGTGCCGGGCAAGGGGCTCGAGGCGGAAGCGGAGAAGGTCTACGACGCACTGACCGTGGCGCCGACTTCTGCCTTGGACGTGATTCTGGATGACCGCGACAAGCAAATGGGCTGGAAGCTCGGCGATGCGGACCTGATCGGATACCCGGTCATCATTGTGGTTGGTAAGGGATGGAAGAAGCAGCAAACCTTGGAGGTGCAATGCCGTCGGTTGAGCGTGCGTGAGGATGTCACACTTGAGGCTCTTCCGGCATTTGTGCAATCTCTGCTGCAGCGTTTGTAAGCGCTTTCGCGTGGGTTGTAGGCTATGCTGATATCCAAAATCGGGGCTATGCTGTTCTTCCCGAGGCTGAGTGGCACGGAGCTTTGTAAGATAGAAGGACTATTCAATGAAACATTAGAAGTAGATTGACCGCAAATTATACCCCACTCCTTTCAAATGTGCCGATAAAGAGGATGAGTCAGCTTCTTAGATCACTGGTGAGATCTATCATTTAAAGGTCAGAGGATAAAGAAGTTTTGGGCAGTCTGCCTGGAACTATTGAACTCTTGGCATCAGCGGGTACTGGGTATTGTTCACCGTGCCTGGAAAAGAATCACCAAACCTCATCTATATAAGGCGACCGACCAATCCACTTGATTGACGCAATTCATCAAACCCATCAATACTTGACCGATCAACACCAATCGATCAATCTTCACCCTCCCCACACACACGCACCTCTAGAATTACCGACAACCATGTCCACAACACCAGATTCCGATCCCACCACCACCATCACCGCCCCGCCAGCGGTAACAACTATCCCCCGCGTCGGCATCGCCGTCCTCATCTTCGGGCGCGCCAACCAAGTCCTGCTGGGCGAACGCAAAGGCAGCCACGGCGCCGGCACCTGGGCCCTGCCGGGGGGCCACCTCGAGCCCGGCGAGACGTGGGCCGCGTGCGCCGCCCGCGAGGTCCTCGAGGAGACCAACCTGGCCGTTTCGGGGCTCCGCTTCCTGACGGCCACCAACGACGTGATGGCCGCCGAGAACAAGCACTACATCACCATCTACCTGGGGTGCACGCCGACGCGGCGCGAGGCCTGCAGGGCCCCGCCGCCCGTCATGGAGCCCGAAAAGTGCCGCGAGTGGCGCTGGGTGGAGTGGGAGGAGGTCACGCGGTGGTATCGGCTGCAGGACGCAGCGGAGAAGCAGCATGCGAACCCCGCTGCAGCCGCGAGTCCCGCTGCTGGAGGGTTGGCGCTCGAGCATCCGTTGTTCTTGCCGCTGATGAATCTCTTTCGGCAGCAGCAGTATTGGATGCCGTTGCAGGAGTATCAGTTGTTGATTGGGTGGGAGGAGGATCGGTAGATGCCCTGGTTGTTAGGGAAATGAGGTTATGAATATCATGATGTTTTCTGATAATGGATTTCTTATTCTTATGTACTTTTCCTTGAATATCTAAGTTTTTGTACTTTTAGACTTGTTGATCACTTTGCTGGCATTTACTTCGCCCTAGGAGTTAATCTAATTTTATATACTGTAAGTTAACATAGTTAACTACTCTACTCTATTAGTGGTGAGTAAGCGATGCATCAACTGACACAATAGATGCACAATGAACCATCTACTTGACTCCTCACTATGGCACCTGCGCCTTGCTCTCCTTTGCACAAACTTATACCATTTAACTATCTTAAAGGTTCATGTTGTATGCCGTTCAGATTGCCGGATCATGTAGCATGTATCTTGTGTCTGCCTGTGAAGACCTCATGATCTGCAGGGCATTGTGTTTTGCACCAGATCTATGCAGCAGAATAGGACGCTAGAACTATAGAATGAAGTTCTAATCAGTGACCTATACGGACCAGCAACTCCTGCCTTTTTCTTGGTGAGGTAATGCCATAGTCTTAGCTCTGCCATGCAGCCCTTGCAATAGCACTTCATAGAAGGAAAACAAAAAAGACCTGAGATAGGTCGTGCAAAGGGAATCAGTCGAAGCGAACATTCAGCTTGCAAAAGAGGTTTTCACTCACTACGGCCCAAGTTTGACTGATGTTACAATTTCTCCAAAACGGATGGCAGTAGTTTTGCTCGAGTTACTACTTCCCCAAAAATCCCCAATCCCCAACATCTCTTTCCCACTTCTCCAACCCTATTTTCCAAGTTCTCCCAACTCATACGGTCATGTAAGAAATTACAGATAGTAGCTCATTATTTTCCGTGGGAATACCTATTCCGAGCACACTAAGAGCTTCGACAAAGAAATGACGTCTATACATGCCCCAACAATCATCCAAGCCATGCGACAATCGAATGACATTGAAGTCTCCAATCACTACAAAAAAGTTAGATAGTCCCAGTCTTGCTCATACATACTATGTGCTGTACAGTACCACCAACCGCCCGAACTCCGCGCCAAAGCCACCGCCTGTGGGACTACCTGGGTGCTGATTCCATCTCGGACTGGGATGGCCACGTTCAGCTCTACATGTCCTCTCTGGACTGCATCGCCAGCGCGCTCAATGACCCGTTTTACAGGGATGTGGTCGTCCCCGACGAGAAGTTCATTTCGGCCCGGTTGTGCCAGAGGACTGTCGGGTTGAGGTGTGCTTTATCGAGGAGAAATGGGTGGTGGAGAGGTAGTGGTTGCAGTTGTTGTGGAGGAGATTGAGTTGTTTATGTTGACTGAGGGCGAGCTATTGGCCATGGTATTGAGGATGTGGAGAGCTGTTATGTTGTTTTGTTATGTATATACTTCGGAAGGAAGTGATAGCGAACCAAGGGGTCAGAGCCCACAGATTGCGGCAGCAACAGTTCCAATCGTAGTGAAAGCAGTCTATAACACTCGGGCCTTTAAGCATCTCTCCAACATTAGCTATCTACCATTTAAATAGTCTCATACCTCATCCGATAAAGAGTTCCTGTACAATCGCGCATAACCGCTGACTCCGGCTGGTAGTCTTGGCGCAGCCATCAAATGTACAGGACTCATAGAACCAGCTGCACAATTACTAAGCCTCACAACCCCAGCACAAAAAAACAATCCATCAAACCACACCCCCCCCCCCACCTACCACCTCCCATAGTCTACAAACCGCAGCCGCAAACCAAGCTTCACCCGCACTGCAACCCCAAGCTACAAGTTCAAATTACTGTGCACTGCAGTACACCACCCGCACCAGCGCCTACACCAGCGCCTACACCAGCGCTCCCACAACCCACACCACAACCACCTCACCACCCCACCCATAACCCAAACTCGACAGACAGACGACACAACACCCCCAAAATGTCCGAACCCAACTCCTCCGACCCCCCACCAGGCTCAGGTACGTTCACCATTACCCTCAACCCTTCCCCCCCAACCCGCCTAACCCGCCCCAAACCAACCCATTCTAACCTTACTCCCCCGGGGAACAAAAGTAAACATCGCCTCCCTGAGCGTGCCCCAACTCCGCGCTCTGCAGACCCGCCTCTCCTCGGAACTCGAGCACCTGACGACCTCGCACGCGAAGCTGCGCGCCGCCCAGCTGAAGTTCCGGGACTGCGTGCGCTCTATCAACGAGGGGGTGGTCGGGTCGGCCAAGAAGGGCACCGCGGGGGGCCCGGACCAGGAGATTCTGGTTCCCTTGACGAGCTCGCTGTACGTGCGCGGCAAGCTGGCGGATCGCGAGAAGGTGCTCGTTGATGTCGGGACGGGGTTCTATGTTGAGAAGGTATTTCCTTCCCCCTTATTCTGTGGGAGTTGGTTGCTCTGGGCTGGGATGGGGTTTGTGGTGGGATTTGCTTGGGCATTGGTCTGGGATGATACTGGGGATGATTTGGGAGCTTGAATTTTGGGAAGTGGATTTGAATGCGTGGGCTAATTTTGGTTTTCTCGCTAGACTGCTCCCAAAGCCATCGAGTTCTACGAGAATAAGGCCAAGGATTTGGAGACCAACCTCACCGAGTTGGAGAAAATTGTACAGACTAAGAGTCAGCAGCAGAGGCTCTTTGAAGATGGTATGTGGCATTGTCCTACTTCTCATCCTTCCGGCAAGGAGTTTCTGATAAAGTGTTTTTCATTATTATTACGATTGCAATTATACTAATGCTCCCGTGATCAGCTTTGAGACAGAAACTGCTGGCCGAAGGGGCCGCATCCTCCGCTTCTGCTACCGCCGGTGCAGGTTAGTTGGTATGCCACTTGAATTAGGTACAGAAGCAAAGCAAAGAACAAAAAAACAGGCATTAAATCAATCCTCTTGCCATGGTATTGCAATATTCTGAAAAAGAGAACGTAGCTCTCCACACTACCCCGAAGGGCAGGCGTTCTGGTGACTTAGAACAAAGTCCCGAGGTCTGCATCTAGAGCCCTTGCATTGCCGCTGGAGGCCGGGCTTGTCGAACGCGCATCAGACTTAGCCTTGACACTTCCGCTGGCTGGAAGGGTGCGGGGCGGTCCGGACCTTAGAAGGGCTGCAACCCGTTTGATCAGATCGATGAACTCCCAGAGACCCTGGGACTTGTCCTCCGACTCATTTGCGGCCGGGAAAAAGGTCTGAAGATTCGGATCGTACTTGGCTGCATGTCCCACGGGCATATTGGCATGTTTACCCAGCAAGTTGTCCCAAGTGAAGTCGAAGACCGATGCTCCCCAAGAAACTCGAGGTTTTCCAAAGGGTGCCGCCAGGTTCAGAGAAGCCGAATCATTTACGGAGGCTCGGGTGTATTCGTCGTATCGCGCGATCTCCAGAATATATCTGGTCCCCTTCAGGCGGTAACGAACAGCCGACTTCTCGATGAACCGGGAGACTGGTGCTGAGGCATGGAAGATGACTTTGCGAACAGGATTAGCCGAGATGTCACCCATAACATCGTTGCTCTTGAATTTGATCGTGTGGGAAAATTCGCGTAAAGCTCTCTCGATTGCAGTTGCTTCATAGAACTCCAGCGATGCGATTTCCAGCTGCCAATCAGACCTATCACGATGATTAAAAATCGCGGAACAGGATACTGGACACAAAGCATGTCGGACAGACTCACCTTTCAAAGTCGATGATTCCAACCTGCAAGGGTGAGCGCGAGTCCTTGACTTGGCCGAGCTTGCGTGGCTTAAGCCAGCGGCTTTGCGTCATTGCGTAATCGCGTGCTCCAGTACATTTCGCAAACTCGGCCTCCAAGCGTAGCAGAGAATTCCTTTGACCGGAGAATTCGAAGTTCACAGAGAATGCTGGCTCGGGCTGTTTCAGGGAGTCCATGGTACGGTCGTACGGCTCAAGAAGATTGGTGGCAGAAAGCAGTCTAGGAAGCAACACAGACTGGTCGATCTTTAGACTGGTAACTTGTCAGCTTTGGATCACGGATTATAAGACCAGACAAATTCACGCGCGTACCCTGGGATCAGGCGACCCTTCGTATTCTCGTGGAACAACATCTCGCGGAATTCCTCAAAGCCCCACGCTGGTTTTCCCTGCGATGGCTGACGGTAATAATCGAGCACGAACAATCCGATATTGGCTCTCATGCGAAGGTGTCCACGCACGTAAACTACACTCTTCAAGCATTTGTCAATCACTTTGAGAATATGGGCATTGTTCCTTGATCGGATCAGCTCAGCTCGGCCCGGCCAACGATCCATATCGGCCTTGCTCATTGGAATCGTGCGAAATAGTGGTCTAACAAAGCCCGCCTCTTTTCTCGCGGAGACCTCACTATGGCCGCATTCAAGAGGCTCAACCAAGTAGATTTTGGACTTGACGAGACTGTTTGCCATAATCTCGGCCCATTTGTTACGCAGGAGCTGGACAAGTTGGCCAATCTTGGCTTGCTCGTAGCCGAGAGCGCAGATGTGATCAGGCAATGCCTTGTCAACGAACAGGTGACACGTGAACCTGATACGAATAGGATCAAGAGCTTCTAGGTCGGGGCCAAGGGCATCGCGCATGGAGGGACCCTCCTTCGGCCACAGAAAGAGTAGCTAGTTGAGAGCTTGAGGTCAGAAGATTGAAGACTGATTTTGTAGTTGTCATGTCAGTTCTTTACTAACCTTCTCAGAGAACATAAAGTCGAGCTCAGGTGCCTTCCTGTATGCGAGAATCAAGGCATCTTCTAGCTCAAGTCGATCCGCAAGATCCTCCTTCCCAGCAGAATAGGCAGAGGTCTTCGTCCATTCCCTTTTCTTGGGCATGGTAATGGTGTCGCATCTAGCAAGAATGCTCTGAATGAGCTTGGTAGCCTCAGAGACCTGATATGATGCCCCCCAGAGATGAATCACCTATATACATCAGCTATCTATTAGTCACTTGGACAAGAGCCACTCGGGCACGACACATACATCATGATTACCGGCGGGTGGGTCGACGTAGGCTCCGGTCTTTCGACAGATGTCTTCGAAGACATCATGGCGTCCCTGCTGTCCAAATGGGCGTCGAGATGAGACCGACCGAGCCGCAGTGCAAAATCTAGTCAGTCAGTACTTACTTCATGTCTTGGTTTGGGAGTTAGTACTTACGTGTCTCTGATCTCTTTGAAAGTGCGTGGAAGCCTGATAGTCCCTGCACCAACCGATATTAGTTTGAATAAAGCTGGACGAGAGAATGATTCTTACCCGCAAGCTGGGCGCCATTTCTCCATTGCGACTTTGCGGGAGACTCCCCGGGAAGATGAGCTTGGGGCGAAGATAAGCCTCTTTTGCCTCTTGAAGCACCGCGTCCTCTGTAAGCGCGAGCTGTTCCTCGGGCAGGGGCGGGGTTGTGGCATGTAGTGTTCTTGTCCACAGATGTGACAGATACCTCACGAACATGCTCGGCTCCGGGAGTATACTCAGGCTGTGATGCAATGTTCTGCACGTGTGACGCTTCGGTCTCAGACGGGATCTTTTGAGGACCTGGTCGTCCGTAACCGGGCAGAGCCCATTCTAAGAGTAGAGGATCAGTATCTTGCTCCGTAGCATGGAACCAGCAGGGCTCAGACAACTTTACCTTCGGCTCCAGAGGCTTCGAAGCTGGTGATTGATTAGTATTTTATTCTTGATCCGATGGCAACAGGACAGCTTACTCCATGTTGAACGAGTCCTTCCAGCCGAAACTGGGATGAGGACTGAGGGGATACTCCTCGACTGAAGCACTTACTGAACAAGTTGATCAAAGACCGAGAAGGATGAATGAAGAACTACTGTTGAGTGGATGAGCAACGGAGCTGACGCTTGCTGAGGGGGAGGTGTAGTTAGATGGAGAAGGAGAGAAGGAAGATGTCAACAGAGTGGGAACTTACCGGATTGACTTTGGGGGGGGCAACGAAGAGGAAGGACAGAGGGGCACAACAGCCACAAGACAAACAGCACTCAGCGGCATATACATGCCAAGATCCTGTTCAATAAGTGCAACTGGCCAGTGAAGGAATTAATCGATAAAAGAAACTGCTTGTAATCCAATCGCCCAGTAGCTGTTTCGGCAGCCTGCATTCACCGCTGGAGCAAAGAAAAGTGAAGTTGGTGCCTGGATGTCACCAAGAGCTGTATCCACGGACTTTAAACTCCTTTGAAATGCACCTCAGAATGTGATTCACCTTCATCGACAACTCTTTTGCAAGCTTGGGGTGTTACGGACAGGCAGTAAGAGCGCTTGCTGCCTCGTTTAGCAGCGAAGTATAGCGCACGTCAGATGATTGGCGCGGAGATGGTGGTGCGGGCTCTAACCCTAAAGTGGAATAGCGGCGCAAGCGAGCGGCGCAAGCGCGCGGCAGGCGCGCCTTTTCGGGTTTCCTCATCAACATACCGATCATAATTAATTGTCTCTCCCTTGGCTGGAACTCCGACTATCACAAGACAATGGCTTCCGACTCTTCAAGCCAATCACCTGGCTTGCAGTCGCGCAAGCCCAGTGTACGGAAACGTGCCCAGCTATGGATGACCAAGGGTGGTCTTGTCCGAGACGACTCCGATGACGAGCTGGGGGAAGAAGACCACCCATGGGAGTGGATCTACGACACAGAGGACACTGATAATCAGGACAGCAAACCGACGGCCGACTCTACGCAAGATACACCGAAATCGATGCGCAGACGCTCCGTCCGTCCGAATGCCAAACGCTCACGGAAGATAATCGGTGCTCGCATGGGTTCGTTCGAATGCGCCCTGGGCCAGGTGGTGCTGCTCAAGTCCCCAGAGCCCGGCAAGGATTGGATCGGAATCATCACAGAATTTTTGGAACAAGATGATGATGACGACGAGATCATCAAATCGGCCAATATCATGTGGTTCGCTTCTCCGGACGAGTTCATGTCGACGAAGAACAAGAGACGATCGGACGCGCTGCCCAATGAACAGTACTTGACGGCGGACTTCAATGTCAACCCCCTCACCTCTATCAACGGCAGAGCCACGGTCATGTCGAAGGATGCGTTCTACGCCAAATATCCTGGTGGTGTCCCTCCGAAGGGAAAGGAAGCTCTGGCAGATTTCAACAAGTGCATTGTGTGTCGCAGAGGAGTGAACCAAGTTCAGGGAAGATATACCGAGGAGTTCATCTGGGAGGAGGTCTATCGAGAGGATAGACTGTTCGACCTCATTGATTTGATCAAGTCTGGGCTCAAGGTCGCGAAGAAACGGAAGCAGGTTGATAACGATGTGAGTACAACGGGTCGCTTTGTCCCAACCTCGCAAGCTAACGACTTGAAGTATGTGGAAAGTAAAAATGAAGAGGATGTTGCTCCGAGTACACCCAGGAAAAGGCAAAAAGTGGCTTCGAGTGCCACCCCTCAATCCAGACGTCAAAAATCCTTGACCACCCCGACACATAAGAGGTATGTGAACGCACGACATCAAAACACATCCTGCCACAGTCTCACGCTCACTCGTCGTAGGATCGTTGTCAAAAAACCACTCGAGTTTACTCCTCTTGGTACCCGTATCCTCTCACCATCACAACTAGCCTCTCCATATCGACAGGCGCGGACTCTCCTCCATGTGTCTACCGTGCCGCAATCGCTCCCTTGCCGGAAGACGGAGTTTGACGCAGTCTACAGCCATCTCAGCGCAGCCATCATGGAAGGAACGGGTACTTGTATCTACATCTCTGGCACACCCGGAACGGGTAAGACAGCAACCGTTCGCGAGGTGGTGGCTCAGTTGAACGCCGCCGTCTTGGCGGAAGAGATGGACGATTTCATCTTCGTTGAGATCAACGGCATGAAGGTGACTGACCCTCATCAGTCTTACTCTCTGCTCTGGGAGGCCCTCAAAGGTGATCGTGTATCCCCGTCTCACGCTTTAGATCTTCTTGAACGGGAGTTCTCGCACCCTTCTCCCCGGCGAGTGTCCTGCGTCGTCTTGATGGACGAACTCGACCAGCTCGTCACCAAGAACCAGTCGGTGATGTACAATTTCTTCAACTGGCCCGCCCTACGACACTCCCGCCTCATCGTCCTCGCCGTCGCCAATACCATGGATCTCCCCGAGCGAACCCTAAGCAACAAGATCTCCAGCCGTCTCGGCCTCACCCGTATCACCTTCCCTGGCTACAAACATACCGACCTAATGGAGATCATAAGCACACGACTCGCCAACGTGCCCGGTAACATCGTGGACGCAGATGCCATTCAATTCGCCAGCCGCAAAGTCGCCGCTGTCAGCGGTGATGCCCGTCGCGCCTTGGACATCTGCCGCCGCGCCGTCGAGATCGCCGAACAGCAAGCCAACGAGGCCGCTCGTAAAGAGCCCCTCGAAACCATCGACGAAGACGACACCGAGTCGATGCCCCCGACCCCGAGCAAAACTCCCGCTCGCAAAGACCGGGCATCCAACAAGAAAGCCCTCCTCCCCCCGTCCCCGCAAAAGAAATCCCAACCCACCACCACTGGCACCAACAAGCCCATCGTCGGGCGCGTCACCATCGCCACCATCAAGCAAGCCATCCAAGAAGCCACCTCTACCCCGCTACAGCAATCCCTCCGCTGTCTCCCCTTGGCCGCGAAGCTCTTCCTCGCCGCCCTCCTCGCCCGGGTCCGCCGCACCGGCACCTCCGAGTCCACCGTCGGCGACGTCATCGACGAAGCCAAGCGCATCGCCGATGCAGCCGTTGCCGTTGCGAGTGCGGCCGGCGTCGGCATCCGAGAGTTCTTGCTTGTCGGCGGCAGTGGTGCGCGGGTGCGTGCGCTGGGATCGGCGGCCATGGAGCTCATGAACTCCGGTGTGCTGGCGTTAGAGCATAGTGCGGGCGCGAAGGGACCTCTCGGCAGCGCGGCCATTCCGCATCGGGGTGACCGTAGCGGGAAGGTGCGATTGCGGGTTGCAGCGGAAGATGTGCGCTCGGCTTTCTGTGATGATGCAGAGGCCAAGGGGTTGGGACTGGGCATTGAGCAGTAATCCATTCATATAGATGAGCACACGTGATAGACCACTGGATTTGTACGATATTAGCATAGGAATAATGATACCCACGGTTTTGAGCACAGGCATAACTGGATTGATCACGTAGGCACGAGTTGATTTGAGCTTACGAGCTAATTCGGGAGATATGGGAAGGTTGAGAGCTCGAGATCGGTGCTCAGCCTATCATTCTATGATACATCTAGATAGTCCATAGTATACCAGCAAGAAAGAGAAATCCAAACCACACAACGCTGGACGCCATAGTGCATATAATAACAAAACACCAAGGATAACATCCGCAACCACCTCCGTAGCAGAAGCAGAAAAGCATAAGAAGACTTTGTCATATTCGAGTACCGTGATCGGATTTGAGCGTCCACAGAAGGGGGGTATTTTCCAAAGGAGGATATGCGGTTTATAAAGAGGTAGATGGAAGAAGGAAGGAAGGGGAATTGATCGGGCGAGAGAAGGGGATGCATAGTTCCTAAAACGGGACTAATACCTCTGCCGACCGAGGGTGGGAGCCCAGGTGACCGGATGCGACTCGGGGGTGGCCTCGTCGTCCTGCTTCCAGATCTTGATGGTCTTGTCAGCTTCACCGGTTATGAGGCGCAGACCCGTGCGGTCGAAGGTGGAGGACATGATGCCGGCCTCGGCCTCGAGGGAGCCGGGCTGGGCGGTAGACTCGATGGTCTGGTACTGGTAGCCGGTCTTCCAGTCCCAGAAGCACATGGAGCCGTTGTCGCCGCCGGAGAAGAGGACGTTGTCCTCGTTGGCGGCGAGGGTGTTGATGATGGCGTTGTGGCCCTCGAAGTTCTGCATGAACTCGCCCTCGGGGCACTTCCACTGCTTGATGGAGCCGGTGCTGGCGCTAGCGAAGGTGAACTCGCGTGGGTGGGTGACGATGTTGCGGACGCCCTTCTTGTGGTGCGTCAGCACGCCCATCGACTTGCCGGCCGCCAGGTCCCAGAGCCGCACGGTCGAGTCGAGGGAGCCCGTGATGATCTGCGGGTCGGCTTCCTGGCACTTCACGTCGGCGACGGTGCCGCGGTGGCCGGACAGGACGTGGACGTTGCTGCGCGTACGCATGTCCCAGACGCGGGCTACGCCGTCACGACCGCCGGTGACGAGGAGGTCCAGGCGCGGGTGCAGGTCCAGCGTGTACACGCCGCTCAGGTGGCCGTGGTAGTGGCGGATGACCTTGTTGGTCTCGAGGTCCCAGCATTTCACCATCTTGTCCTCACCGCATGAGAAGAGGTACGGGTGCCGCGGGGAAACGGCCAGGCCGCGCACGGTCGAGATGTGGCCGGTGAGGGTGAGCCGCAGCGCGCCGGTGGCCAGATTCCAGATCTTGATCGTCCGGTCACCCGCACCACTGGCGAACCATTCGTTGTTCGGCTCGACCGCCAAGCTGCGGACCCAGCCCAGGTGGCCGGATATCACCCGCATGAGCTTCCACGGCGCATGCCAGTCAGGTCTCTGTTGTCGCGTCGCCGAGGGTCGCTGGATCAGGCTCTTGGGTTCGTTCTCACCGCCGACGCCGCCCGCCGCCGGCCCGGGGGCCTTCTTGACCAGGGCCATCGACGCGCCGCTCCCGTCTGCGGCCGAGGCCTTGGTCTGAGATTGGATCTTGGGTCGTTTGGCGCGTCCGCTGGCGGCAGCCGCCGCCGCAGCGGCCTGCTTCGCGGCGAGGGCGGGAGGCAATTCTCTGACATCGTCGTATTCTGCTTTGCGTCGGTAGGAAAGTCCAATGGAGCCGCTTGCGACCGAGGGGGTGACCATCAGGTAGTCGGGGCCAAAGAGTTCAGCGGTACGCTTTGCCGAAAGGCGCACGGCCTCGTCGGGCGATGTGGAGGGAACGACGTCCATTGTGTAGGTAGGTAGGGGGGGAGGAGATTCGAGGTGATGGCGTGGGCGATGAGTTGCGGGCGTCCTGATCCCTCAGGACAGGGATGCGGTGGGTTTCAAACTTGAGAGATTCAGTAGAAGAGGTGCACACAGCAAGATAGGATCTAAGAGTGTAGTTGTAATTAGTGTATGTGGAAATGTTGGAGAGGCGTTGAATGAAATAATGGTCGAAAGGTCGAAGATGAGGTGAAGTTGCAGAGCTGCGGACTGAAGAAGCGAAGCTCTGGTTTTCCGCGGATGTCGATGCCTAAGGCATTATACGAGGTGTCGAGGCAGCGGTTCTCCGCATCTTCAGGCCAACCATCGGATCATCAAATCAACCCCGCCGCAAACAAGAAACAAGCAATATCCCACCTGCATTAATCATGAACGCTAGCACTGAAGCTAAGTATCCTCTTCATGAGGCTGCTCGAGAGGGAAAAGGTACGTCTCTTCATCCTGCCCGACCGTCAAACTCTTATTTATAGCTAACCTACATAGTTTCCACGGCCGAATCTCTCTTGAGCGTAAGAGCTGTCCCCGCACGGAATGACGAGTGGCAATATGTCAACTGACAGCACAGTCAGGCAAATCCCAAGCTCGCTGCCACCAAAGATGACGATGAGCGTCTTCCCATTCACTGGGCTGTAGCATACAACCACTTGCCTATTGTGGAGCTTCTCATCTCGAACAAGCACTTTGACCCCGACGTCGAGGTATGGCATGCATGCATGAAAGAACGTATGATAGATCGAGCTTGCTAAGAAGCCTTTTAGGATGGATCCGGTTGGACCCCCTTGATGATAGCAGCTAGCTTGAAGAACGCCGAAGGAGATCCCATCATTGATCTTTTGCTGAAGAAGGGCGCAGATGTCAGCGTTAAGAGCTCATCCGGACAGGTGCGTATCCAGCAAGCTAGATTTTCTTACTGCCATCGGAAATGGTGCCGAACTGTTGTTAACAGCACTTCTTGAAGAATGCTCTCCACTTTGCGACCTCCAAAGCCAACCTCTCCACCGTTCGCACGCTGATCGCCAACAAATGCAGCGCTCGGGTCAAGGATAGACGCGGCCAGCTCGCGCTTCATCGGGCTGCGGCTATCGGTTCCACGCCCATCATCAAAGTCTTACTCGAGGATGGCAAGAGTCCGGTCAATGCGACCGATATTGACGGGCTCACGGCGTTGCATCATGCGATCTCGGAGGGTCATGGCGATGCGGCGATCACGCTTCTCAAGGCCGGTGCGGAGGCAGACAAGAGAGATTCCAGCGGGATGCTGGCAATCGATATGGCACCGGATAACAAGGTAGGACTTGCGTATTTTTAGGCATGGTGCCCCCATGCTAACCACTGAGTAGGTCCGAAGCTACGTCCTACAAACGGCCGAGAGAGAGGGGATTGATTTATAGGGTTGCGGACTAAAGATGCGGTGGGATTGCAAAATGTCCGAGACCAACAGATTCTCAATAAATAATTAGACTGGATACCCGGAGTCTTTTCCAGGCTCAAGACTGTTCAATATTTCTTTTCAACAAGCAGACATGCATCACATGATATCGTCTAGAGCGATCTAGCCCGGAGAAAAGACTCTCTATGTACAAAGGGAAAGATCTCAGTAGTAAAACAGGGCAGCGTGCATAGAGACAATAACCTCATTTCATCGTACTGTCGACCAACTCGCGGTAAATCTTCTTGAGATCGGCAATATCTGCCTCCAATTCCTCCACCTGCTCGCTCTTTTCTCCCAGCATTTCGAGGGTTGTCTGGTACCGCTGGTCGAGTTCATCGAGCCGCTGTTCAAGCTCGTGCACACGTGTATCAGAAGTTCGCTTCGTCTCAACTTCCCGCATTAAATCCACGACCTGTTGTCGGGCTTCGTCGCGCTGCGCGGCGATCCGAGAAAGCTCGTCCTTCGATGCGGCGCGTTCGCTCTCGAGCCGGCGGACGGTGGCACTCATACGCTCAACCAACTGTACTGAGGGCCCTGCGCCAACAGTAGACTCTGAGATGATATCGTTAATGCCGCGCGAATGCTGCGTGGGTGCTCCACCATAGGCGGAGGGGGTAGCAGAGCGACTGAAGAGTTCATCGTGCTCGAAGTTGATTGAAGGCGTCTCTGGAATTGGTAGATGTATCGAGCTGGTTGCAGTCGAGGGCGAGAGAATGGACTGAGTGGACAAAGGAAATGAGTTCTGGCGTGAGAGATTGCCCATGTCAGGCGATGTTGGTAACGTCGAGGGACGTCGACTGCTTGGTCGATAATCGGACAACGTTCCGATGGGCTCTAGAGCACTCGGCCGACGACTGTAGGCCACTGGAGACTGTGTTCGAGGCTGTTGCAAGAAGACAGACGGTGGAGACATTTGCTCACGCAATTTCAGGCGTTCGTCCTCAAGCTTCTGTGTCCATGTGGCATCGATGACTTTCTGCTGCTCTGCAAAATCTTTCTGGGCTAAGTCCAGATCCTCAGTGGCTTTTCTGAGTTTCTGTTCCAGCTTTTTGGTCTCTTCAGTTGCCTCCTCGAGTTTACTCTCGAGATCGTGCTCAGTCTCTTTCGCGGTCTCGAGCTCTTCTTCGATACGCTTGACTTTCAGGTTCTGCAACGTAGAGTTAGCCCACAGTTACCTGATAAAGTTCTAACAAGTACTATGCTCACCATCTCACGGATCTTCCGTCGCATCTCACTCTCGCGCCGTGCGGCTTCATCCCGCTCCTTTTCAACATTCGCCAACCGAGCAAGCAACGAACCCTCCAATGTCTGCCAATTCTCGCTAGCTACAGCGTACTGAGTCTGAAGGGTCTCGATCTGACGGAGCAATTTGACCTGAGTGTCGCCAGCCACTCCAGTCGAAGCTTCTTCGGCTCGAAAGCGAAGGGACTCCATTTTACTTTCGAGCATCGATTGCTCACCCTTGAGTTCTACTTCAAGCATGCGAGCGCGCTCTTTCTCCTGCTCAATGGTAGCCTGCAGATCACTGATTTCGCGCCTCAGCTTCCCTTCGCTGATATCTCTTTCTATTTTGACGCTAGCGAGGTCCTCCTCCAACTGAGAGGCGCGGCGCTTTTCCTGTTCGAGTGCCTCGGATTGTGCCTTAGCTTCGACCGCCTCCGCTCGAGCGACGGCTCGTGCAAGCTGTCCCTTCATTTCCTGTACAGTTTGACTTAGAGCATTGCGTTCTGCAGTCACCGCTTCGAGATCTTGTGACGTCTTGGTCTGTGTCGAGAGAGAATCATTGGCTCTCTTCTCGGCGGCTTCTGCTCGTTTGGCTCGAGTTTCTGCGCTAGCAAGATCGCGCTCGAGTTTCTCTGTCTTTTTCTTGACTTCAGTTTGGGCTTTCGCATTCTCCATCAACTGCTGCCTCAGCTTCTTGATAGCCGTTCGATGGTCCATTTCCGTCTTGGACAGCTTTTGACCTTCTTCGAGAAGAAGGGCTATCTTTTCGTCCTTTTCCCTTAGCTGTCTTTCTACGCTGCCAGGCTCCGCTGCTGTTGCAGCCTGCTTGGCGGATTCGGCAGCCTCTTTCGCCAGGTATTTGAGCTTCGACTGCAGTGCATCGATCCGCTCGATGTAACCGTATATCTCTTCTTGCCGTTGAGATTCAGCGGTTTCGGGCTCGGGTTGCAATTTGCGGACAGACCTTTCCTGACCATTCGATAAATCATTGCTAGTCTCCTCAGCAGGCTCCATCAACGAAACCGATGCTGTAGGCGCAGAGAGTTTCGATCCATCTGCAGACAATTGTGGCTCCGCAAGGGTAGGGTTCTGAGCGACATTATCATCATTCTCTGCAAGCGCATGCGGAGGCAGTGCGCTTTCGGTTGATAGCCTGCTAATGTCGTTTGACTCTCGCGGGGGGCCTGAATCGTAGCTGTTACGCGACTCGGCTGCCACCGAGGCATCCTCGACCTGACTCGAGCTTCGCGAGTGCCTCCCTGGATTCACAGATGATGATCTGAGGCTGGAATCGATGTCCATGCTAGATCGGGTGCCGTTGCTGGGAACCGGACTAGTAACGGGTGATGAGGTCCGACTGGAGCCTTGTGTGGCGAGAGGGCCCGGCGAATTCTTCACCATTGCTCGGGCGAGGCGCTCCTGAAGCCGGTCATTCTTCCGAGCATTGGATGAGCTGCGGGAAAGGTCTGGTCAACATTAGCAATCCGATGGATCTGCAGAGGACAGAATGGATCATACTTCCGGTTTGCTCCGTCGGCTTGGGTTTTGTAGCAGCATTCTTCGCTTGTACTTGTTTTTGATCCTCCTCCTCTGCTAATATTTGGTCGAGTCTGGACTCCACACCCGCGACAGCCTGTTGTAGAAAAGACCCGACCTTCCACTTGGGCTTGATGCTTTGTGAATTCTGCGCCATGGTGACGACCTAGGTGCTTTATTGCAATCTCCGCAGTTGTTTTATTCCATGTGCAAATGGCGCGATCGCCTATTTTGTAGTTCAGTAGCGATCGGATCGTATGTCAGGAACAGTCGCAATTTCAAGAAATCGGTGCGATATGCTTGTTGGTTGTTGTCACCGAGTGGGGAAGGCAAGGCTGGAAGGAAATGAACGTGAGACTTTCGGGGGGTGAACGGCACGTCGAAGAGTCAATTCGAGCAGAAAGAACGTGGCGATGCAAGAGATACGACAAGAGAACGCTGTCCCTGCGCGGGAAGCCAGATGGCAGCCTGAGATGGTGCAGCTTGCGTGGACGGAGAACTTGGAGCGCAACCGGCCGGGCTTGGCGATCGATGGAATGGATGAGCGTTAATCAATCAATCCCACATCATCATTCGGACAGGCCCGAACCACCTCCGTCTGTCCTCCTCCACCCACTCACCTCTCCATCTTTCCTTCTCCCACCCCCTCCTTCAACCTCCCTCCCCCCGCCTCCACTCCTCTTGGATTGCTTTGATACTCCCTTCCGATTGTTGTTATTTTCTTTCCAGTTGGATTCCTGCTACTCTGTTCCCAGGATCCATCATGTCTTCGTTGCCCCTGGAGCCGCCTACGTATCTCAGCTCGTTGCAGAACAACATCCGAGCTCGCCCTATCCCTTGGGAGGGAGCTGTTCGAGCTGGCAACATCACTGATGAACACCTGAAGAAGATCAAGGCAGTTGATAAGGTTCGCAAAGAGCAACGGCGTCAAACGGTTGAGGGCGATCTCGCTGGGTATGTTAGTCTGCTGGCAGGCGGGCCCGAGAGCAAGAGTGTGCTGGACTCCGCCGCCAGACGAACCGACATCGTGCAATGCATCCTCGTGCTGGCCGCGGATTTGATCAACGGTGGGTCTCTATCTTTCCAGCTATCGTGGCAACAGTTGTTAATGATTATTAGATGTTCCCTCCCTCGCAACAGCTCTGGTTGCCCACCCCAATCCTTACAAGTCATTCCTTCCCCTCTTGCGTCATTCGACCAACGCTGAAGACCCGATTCCTCTCCTCACTTCCACCTTCTTGACAAACCTGGTATCGGTCAGCCTGTTTTCCTCTTCGAAGCCAGCGCCGCGGGATGATGAGGCGCTTTCGCAGTTGTACACCTACCTCTCCACTCTGACCCAGAACCAAGACAGCGGGCTGCAGGATATCGGGGTCCAGGAGCTGTCCGCACTTCTTCGCACTGCTAGAGCGCGTGAACTTTTCTGGCAGCAACGGAAACAGACCGTCGATCCTCTGATCGAGATTCTGCGAGCCGCGACGGGCGTCAAAGACAGCAGTTCAAGCACCTTGGCGGGCAGTGCGCGCGGGATCGAGCCTGGTCTTGCAGGTGGCATCGGCCTCCAACTCCTCTACAGAGTCTTGCTGGTGCTATGGCAGCTGAGTTTTGAGGGTAATTTGGTCGGGGAAGATCTGCAGAAGTACGTGATGTGCGCGTAGTCCGTGCGAGCGGTGAAGCTAATACGTACACCTTCTAGTGACTACGAATTCGTTCAGCTCTACACAAACCTCCTCCGCTTGTCTCCGAAAGAAAAAACGACCCGTCTACTCCTCGCCACGCTCAATAATCTCTTGTCCAGTAACCGCACGACTCTTCTTCCAGTGGCCGTCTTTGTTCGCCTGCCCGCGCTGCTGACGAACCTCTCGGGTCGCCACTTGACCGATGAAGACTTGCTGGAGGACCTTCAGGCTTTGAAGGAGCTCCTGGATGAATACACAAAGACGCAAACGACGTTTGACCAGTACGCGGCTGAACTGCAGTCGGGCCACCTGCGGTGGTCGCCTCCGCACCGGGACCCCACGTTCTGGAAGGATAACGCACGGCGCATCTTAGACGACAACAATGGCGCATTGCCCAAGAAGCTCGCAGAGATTCTGTCCAAGAACTGGGACAACGATAAGCAGGTGCTGGCGATTGGATGTAATGATGTGGGCCATCTGGTTAAAGAGCTTCCCGAACGGCGGGCACAGCTGGAGAAATTGGGCTTGAAGACGCGGGTGATGGAATTGATGGCAGACAAGGACGAAGCCGTCAGGTGGGAGAGCTTGCGAGCTGTTGGAGAGTGGCTGCGTTATACCTTTGACGACTAATGGGGGACGAAGCCCGTTCCATCTTCGAGCTATCCTTGCTCTTGTTTGTCACGTCGCTATCGTCTGTATGTATTTGGGGTCTAGACGAGCCATGCTGGGGCTACATTTGTATGAATTACCTGTAGATGTTGCACTGTATTTTTCAGCGTAATTTGTCTGCTTCAAGTTGAATTTGATATGCGTTCCTATCTGATGTTTCATGGTGGATATTGCAGTGCCCATCTTTTCTTTCCATCACCCGCAGGTTCGGCGACTGGAGCGGAGGAAGCCGCCCACCGCCCCTTATCGATCATCCGTCAACAAATTGTCGGGAATTGCTGCTTATCGCCGCCACCGGCAGGCTGTGGAGGGGCGATTGAACGAGTGGGCGACTGCCCTCGTGCTCGCACGGCAACTTTAGCTTCTACAAATTTGTCTTGACGGTCCCTCTCGATTCTTCCTGCATTTGTTCTCGTTGTCTTGTCTCACCCCCACTGCCCCTCATCCGTTGTGGATTGTGGAATCCGGTCGATCTGGACCCTCCCTCCCCTCTTGAGACCCCCCTTGGGGTAGCCGAACAATCATCTGCGGAGAAAAAAAAGAAAGATCCCCGCCGAGGCCTACCAGGATTCCCAGGAACAAACCCGGTTTATCCTCCCGAAAGCAGCCTATAAACAAATAAAACCACCAACACACATGTCGCGTTCCTTTACTGGGTGCAAGCGATGTAAAGGGCGTCGGCAGAAGTGTGACGAGCAGCGTCCAAGCTGTGGCCGATGCCAGCAAGCGAACACGCCTTGTCGATATGCGATGCAGCTTCAGTGGGGTGGGCGGGCTTTCTCGCGCTCGCGGTTCGGAGCCTGTGTGGGTAACGGAGGCATGCATAAGCTGGGTACGTAAGAGTTTTACTCTACTCTACTCTAGTGTGTCGGTCGCTAACGAAGCGCCTGCATCTAACCAGAGTATTCCCCCGGCGAATTTATCTATACCACGAACTCATCCTCTACGGCCCTATCTCCCGGCTCGATAATCGCTGGTACCTCATCTGCGACGACCGCCACGACTAGCTTAAACTATTACATTGACCCGTTCGCCTCCCTCTCGACCGACCAAAAGTCTCTTCTTCACCACTTTCTCAGTGATGCCTCGCAGATCACTGCCTGTCATTCCGGCATGCAACAGGACATTTGCAAGATGCTGGTCCCCATGGCCCTCCAAACCCCGTCTCTCCTATACGCAACCATGGCCCTCTCTGCCATCCATCTACAAGCGCTCCACAACCAGTCGGAAAATGTCAAGTCGGCTCCAGAAATTGCGCGTTTCATGGCGCTCAGCCTAGAACATTTTCGCAAGGAACTGGAGAACCCTGCCAGCAGAGGGTCGGATGCCCTGCTCGCCACAGCGCGTACTCTTTGCTTAGCCGAGATTCATTCGGGCGCTATTCATCCCAATTCGTGGCGCGCGCACATCGCGGGAGCAAAGGCCCTCATGGATTCTTCGAGTCAGCGCGGGATCCTGTCACCGGGATCGCCTGAGGGCTTTCGTCGATATCTAGACCGATGGCACCGATCGATCGTCTCGCTAACAGCATTGACTGGAAACGGGCCGCCAATCGGGGTGGAAGCAGCGGTCGCGGACAACACAACCGATTCCGCAACCCCTGATTATCTGGATGACTACTGGGGTTTCACTGTCAACCTGGCCGCGATCTTCCGCGCGATTGGTGCGATATCCTGGCGCGAGCATCAATATCTATTGCAGCAGCAAGAAGAACCAGGACAGGAAGCCGCGGTAGGAGATACCGTGTTCGACATCGACGTCGCCCACGAGGCAGCCACGCTTGAAGGCGCCCTCCGTCGGCTAATGGCTGCCGAAGAAGTTGGGACTCAGCCGGCCTTCTACCCGGGTGTCATGGAGGGACTGTCGCCGGACTGCATTCGGCAGCTGATGCTCTGCAATGAGGCCTTTCAGCGCAGTGCGCTGATTCAGATCCACCGCCGCTTGTACAAGACGCCCGCGTCGGCACCGGTGGTGCAGGACTCAGTCAAGCGGATCCTGGAATGTACGGCGCAGATCGGGCCGTCTCCCGGTCTGAGTCCATGGGTGATGCTCACAACACCGCTGTTCATTGCGGGATGCGAGGCGCGCGGGGCTGATCGACAACAGGTCCGCCAGTTATTGGCATCACTGCATGATACTATCCGGGTGCCAAATGTCTTGCAGGCATTGAGATTGTTGGAGCAATATTGGGGTAATCAGTTGGATGAGAATGAGGGGTGGTCTCAATTCTTGGGTATGTTTGCCTTCCCCTTAGAAGAAGCTGTTTGCTGACCCGGAGAGTAGATCGTATGAGGATTGATTTCATCCCATATTAATTGAGGGAGGGGGGTTTTATTCGTGTGGGAATCGGGATCCACAGCGAGCTTTTATGTGGTATGATTGATGTATATATTAAAGATTGACAATGTCTCCTGGAACTGGAAGGCATTGAAGTATCCTGCTTTGTGCTATTTTAGCGATGAGTTGATGGCGTTATTTCCTTCTGCTTCTGTTCTGGTGTCACATTATGCATTTAATTGGTGCATGGCGAGGTTTGCTGTTGTTACACACAAAGGCGGGGATGATAAAGAGAAACCCAGGTTTACCGTTTGTATAAAGGGATCCCCCAGGGATTTCAGGGGGGAGGGGAGAGAGGGTCAAGTCAAGGGCACCGCATCTTTTTTTGAGTCACCGGCATTTCCTCCCTAGCCCTACTCTACTCCTACTTCCTTGTCCTGCGAGACATATGACCCAAGGAACAGCAAGACAAGAACCCTTTTCTTCTTGGGTAGTGTGAGGCTTAGAGCTCGTGCCTACATTCCCTCCCATTCTGGTGCTTATGTCCTTCCTTTCTGAGGTCTCAACCTTTATCTTCCTTCTAAGGAACGAGCACAAACGCATACAGACATTTAGTACGTAGTTCGAAGTGCGCTCCATAGATATAGATACAGTACGTACTTTATCCTATTTCTATACTTAGAACCCGATTCCCTGTTCTGCGGCAGAGTATGAACTATAGTGTCCAACAAATTGCCCCCTAGCCGCCACGTTAGACCCGAACACAGACACAAACAATCCAAGACTCTATCAGCACCACGCATAAGCGTTGACTGTAGTCTAGATTGTACGGAGCAGTAGCTTTCTTACGGCAGTACTCCGTACGTAGATGCCTCCTCCGGCGGCTAGCCAACTGACTAATACCCTGCCCATTCACTACACTACCTTGCCGCAGGGGTTCCCATTTGCCAACCTCCGTCTCAGGGTTGAGGAACCGCGCGCGTGCGTGCGGTAGGTTACGTGCATGCATGATTGTCCTGCAGCCACAGCGATAGTTGGGTTGCTGGAACGTTGGCTTGGTAGCTAAGAATAGCTTGCGGGTTGGGCTTGGCTTGGCTGGGATAGAGAACGAAGACTGGGAGGTAGAGGTTGGTAGGCGGGTGAGTGTTTGTGGTTTCAGGTTTACGGTGAGTGTCTGTAGATGGACTTGATACTGATTACGGAGATTCCGTAGAAAGTGGGGGTTTGTTTGTTGATGTTTATTTGTGTGCCGCTGGAGGAATTGTCTTGCTAACTTGGATACGAAACTTGTTAGCCGCCGTTGGAGTTCGGGGCTGGATGTGAAGTGCAAGCAGGCAGGCAGGGTTTGGGTTCATGGGTCCTGGGCCCGCCTTTGGGGGCGCTTACTAGTTGCTATAGTAGTTTCTATGGTCTTGTTGGTAACTTCAAGCTACTACATAGTATATGCAGTTGCGGAAGGGGCAGCGGTCATGGCGTTTCCGTTTCTTTGTGTTTCTTACGTATGAATAACTGAATAGCTAACTTAATGGTTGATAGCTATAGCGCTATAGATGAGAGCTAGCTGAGCTACTCTACCGAGTTGCGTATACATACATCGTCTCTCACCCCCCAAGTGGAACCCTGCATGGATATCAACTCCCGAGCCGAGATGGGTACAGTACATAGTCCACTGTCCAGGGCCGATCTTTCAAAGTTCCCAAAAACACATGCAGCAACTTTACTTGGCCCATCGACAAGCGAGGGAACGGAATCAGCAAGGATAGTCAGGATCAAACTTCTAGGAGGGTTGTGAATCCTTGGTCCGAGTGCAGGCGACTGTTGGTAACGGACCACTAGTCGGCGTTAGTTGCTTGGAAGGGAGGGGGGCTGGTCTGTTCTCTCCTTTTTTTTTCCGCCCTGCTAAGCTGACTCAGGCCAACAGCTTGGCTTCTTGGGTTTATGGTTCTGGACAATGGTGATACACTGGTGTGCTTAATGGTTGGCATGTTTGTGCTTTTTATAGATACTGGTATGCCCTTTACCCTGGATCCAGGTTGGGACTTTTTGATAGTACTAATTGTCAGGCTAAAAAAGTGGTGGCAGGTGGAAAAGAATAATGAATGGAAATCATGAAGCAGCAAGCAGGACGGGACAGACAGCCGGATAACCCCTGACTTGCCGCCCGAGAGTTGGTGGGGCCGATCGGCCACCCGGCTGGGCCTCCGGCTATCATCAAGACTGGCACATATTTTGTACAAGAAAAATAGACAAAGTGATGGTGATGATGGTTGTAGTGGTAGTGTTATTGTATGAAAGAACAATGAGAATTGGGAGAGAAATCATCTCATAGGCATAAGCTAGAATGCGCTGAGCTTCTCAATGGAAACTATTGTTCTCCAGCCATTATCCAGCCAGTATCCAGTCAGTGTCAATCCACCAACATCATTTGTATAGATCCCACGGCCAAGTGGATCCCAGCTTTGCCTCTTTCTGCATCTCGCTGGCTCTCCTTTTTCCCGCGCGCTTCTGGCCTTCTCTTCCTCTGCCAATCTCATCCCCCCTTTCCTTTACGTTCCCTCGCTTTAGTTGATTTCCAGATTAACTCGAATTGATTATTGCATTTTCCCTTTTCAAGCTTTCCTCCAGATTTTCCGTCTTTTCTCCTCCCCCCAATTTCTTTCCAATCAATGGATCTTCTCCTATTCTTTCCAACCCCAAAGTCTCAGTCTCAGTCTCAGTCCTAGTCTCACCTCACACACGCAGCAGCCTTTCCATTCCTGAGCCCAAACCCAAACTTTCCCGTCAGCCATGAGGCCTGCGTCGATCCTCAGCTGATTGTCTTTGATCTGCTTTGTTCCTGTTCGTGTCACTTGTCTGCTACTCACCCAATTAGAGTGCAATGGCCCCCGGCTGGACTTCTCCGCCTCCTGCCTCGGGCGGTTTCCTCCCCTCGAGTCCTCCCCCATCGAACCATAATCAGAACCATGACGATTATGACCATGGCCATGGCAATGACCATGACCATCCCGATGCGACTACAATCACCGCCGCTACCACCGCTTCACCTCCTCTTCCGCCGCCGCCTCTTACAACCACGACCACGCATCAGGACACCAATAATATCTCTACTACTACTACTACTACTATCTCCTATCACCCAGGGAGTCTTGACCCCAACCCCGGTCCGGGGCCAAGTCTCCCTAACTCCCCCATTTCCACTACTTCCACCTCCTCTTCCGCCTACCCTCCTCCCGACTTTCCTCCTTCGTCTATTGTCCCTATCCCCCTCTCCCCCTCCTCTCCCACCTTAGCATCTGCATCTCATACTCAAACTCCTTCCCTCTCCTCTCCCTTCACCGTGCGCAGGAAGCCGCTTCCCCAGGATGCTGTGAACCCCTCGCACGCAGCTAGGCCTTTCTCCTCCTCTTCGTCCCTACTTGCCTCTCCTCGGGGCAACTCGCCTGCGCATCCGGATTCTCACCCGGCCTCCCCTCTGGCTGCCGGCCAGACGCTGGCCTTGTCCCCGGTTTCATCGCCGTCGTTTCTGGATTACGTATATGACCATCAGGACGACGAAGACGAAGACGATATATATCAACACACGCCTGAACCATACTCCGAATATACCCACGAACCAGAACAGCAACTACACCACCCCGTTTCTCCTCCCAGGGACCTGGATAGGTATGGTAGTCCGTCGCATCCCTTCTCCCTCTGAAGCTCTCCCTTAAGGACCCTTGCCCCTTGGCTGGTACACTCGCTCCGCCTTGCGCGCCTTCCGCAGCTTTGGGGAGGGCTTCTTATGTCCAACGCTCCCCGCGCACGTTCCAGGACTAACCCCGTGCTCTTCTTTGTCTGGCCCAGATTCCCGCGTGGTAGTCCGTCCTCGTCCCATCTCCGCATAGACACGACTTCGTCCATAGGGAGCCCTGTCAACGACAGCGACGACGAGACCCCCGTGTACGACATCGCTTACTCCACGCGATTCACGAATGCGACTCGGGTACATAACCGTCTCGTCAGTGAATCCTTCGTCCATAAACGTATATCCCTGGGTATAAATCCGAAGCGCGCTACCACCATGGCTCTGCACCTGCCGTCGAACGGTCCAGCCCCGCTGATGATCGACCCTCCCCGCCGCACCGGCACCTCGTCCACTATGGGGGATAGCAAACAACCCAAGACACCAGGCAATAAGATCAGCTCTTTCTTTGGGTGGCGGGCAGGCAACTCCTCACCTGGCGCCGAATCTTCGAGCACTGAGATCTCCGAGTCCGGCCGATCCCCCATTCCATCACCAATGCCGCCGTCACTGCCCAGCGCGTCCTTCTCTATAACGCCATCCACAACGGTCCCCTTCGACCCTACCCGCCCGCATACGTCTCTCCCGCATCGCAATTCGTCGCTCAGCAGCGCCAGCATTTTGGAGAAGTCTGGAGCCCCAGCCCTGGTGGCAGAGCTCGAGAATGAATTGCGGGAGATCAGCTCAGAGCTTGCGGGTTCGATCCGCCGGGAGATGGAGTTAGAGGACCTGGTCGAACGACTACAGTCGGATTCGGTCTTCGACACGCCTAACCGTCGAACCAGCGACTACTTCTCCGACTCCGGCAGTAGCTCTATCCGTTATGCATATGAGTCTGGTGGTCGAGTGGAGGATATCGAGAAATACAAGCGTACTGCAGAGCAGGAACGGGCCCAGATCAAGGTAGAGCTATCTCAGAAACTGCAGGAAGAGCGCGGTCGACGTGCAGCCTCCGAGGCCCACGTTCAGATTTTGGAATCGCAAGTGCACCAGGTATGAATGCTCCAGGCCTCTTCTTCTGCTAGCGCTAACGCACCGTATTAGCTGCGACGGGAAAGAGTCGACCTCTCAGATATGTCCTCCCGTACCAAAGAGCTGGAGACCGCTTTGGAGGCTACTCGTCGGAAATTGGCTGAAGAGCGTCAGATCAAAGACAACTTCGAAGATCTGCTCACTGCCATGCGTGTCGAGCTCGAGCAGCTCCGAAATGAGCGGGACCATCTGAAGGAGAATGTAATACCTCAGTTACAAAATAGTGCCAATAACTCTCACCAGCAATCGTCGGATCCTTCCGAGGTTGCGCGGTTGATGGGAGAGATTGAGGCACTGAAGATAGAGAATGCCTCCCTAGCACAACTGCAAGGGAGCCGGTTCGCCTCCATCGCGGAGGAAGATACCATGTCTTCGGCGCGAGGTACGGGACTCGGTCTGTCTCGTTCAAACTCATTGGCACGAGTGCGCTCAAAACCAAGTGCCCCGACTGGCCTATCTCGGTCCAACTCTTTGTCTCGGTCAAACTCTGTTAATGTCAAGGAACGGAGCGAGCCACGAGAGAACCTGGCCGACAGAATTGAAGACGTTGAGGCCCAACGAGATGCCCTTCACGAAGCTCTTCGACGTTTGCTGGAACGCCAGGCCTACGATTCTCGCGAGTACGAGAAACAGCTAAAGATGATGGAGCTTGAGCTGGCTCGTGCGCAAATGGCGGAGTCTCCGCGTAAGATCGGCTACGAACGCGAGGTACGGAACCTCCGAGAGGAGGTCAACTTGCTCCGCCACCGTGCGGAAGAAGCCATGGAGCAGAAATGGCAGTGCGAAAAGGGACTCGCAGGCCTGAAGATGGATCTGGACCGCGCCGAGCAGGAGACCACTTCCTTGCGAGTCCTGCTGCAGGAGCATGACATCACGGTCCCTGAGGACTATGAAACCGACGGGGACGGGTTTGCTGAAGTCTTGGTCACTTCGACCTCCCTGGAGACTGCCTACAAGCAGCTCCAGGCTGACCGGGATCAGGCTGAAGCCAATGTGGCGCAGTCTCCCATGCTGGCAGAATCGGTCACTCGGACCGACAGCTTAGCGAATCATGTGCAGCAACAACTTGCAAACAACATTGCTCTGCGTGCCCGCTTAGCCGAGGCGATCGGTAAGGGCGAGAAAGAGCAGCAGCTGTCGGCTGCGCGCATCAACGAGATGCAGAGCCGGCTCAAGGAGATGGAGGATATCCTTCTCATGGCACAGCAGTTCTCCGAGGACGAGATGGCGCGTCATGAGGAAGAAGTCCGCAAACTTCAGGAGAGTCACAGTCTTCAGCTGACGCGCGTCAAGAATGGCGCGCGCAGCCCAATGGCCCTATCTCCGAAGCCGCCGAACACCCCATTCGGCGCGCGTTCACCGCGGTTAGATAAGACGACGAGTGGGGACGGAATGGCACTGAACGAGGCGGTTCAGTTCGAGACGCTGGCGAAGCGGGTCAAGGAATTGGAGAAGTTACTCCGTGACGCCGACTCGGAGATGGAGGAGGTGGTCAGTCGGATGAACCGTGCGCAGATTGAAGTCGCCGAACTGCAGTCCGATCGGTGAGTTTTGCCCTTTTTCTCAGTTTGGCCGTGATAAATGACCTTTCAACTAACCCTTCCCAGGGATGAGGCACTACGCCAGACCAGAAAGCTCCAGGCCGAGATTCTGGCTGAACGCGAGGCATTAAAGACCCTGATTGTTTCTTAAGTAAACCGTGGATGCGGATGCTGTGCATCCACCCCGCTTGTACATGGTTGGAAGATCCTCACCAGAGGCGCATGTATATAAATGACCATCATCAGTGATCTAGATGTATAATATCATAGACTAATATCGCATTTTCAGTTTCTATGGTCTTTCAAGGGATGACGACTGAGGCAAAATGCCTTTCCACGCGGGCTATAGACCGAGACACCATCACCGCCTTCACAAGTGGAACAAACTGGCAGAATTGGTAAGAGGGCGGGGAATGCTTGAATCCTTAGTAAGACATGTGAGTTGCTGATAGTGATGTTGTTAGCAAAGTGCTGCCGAGGGTTGACGAGGACTCTCTGGGGTGTTCTATCGAAACGATCAGAAGGAGTCTAAACGCAAGACATAGATAGGCCGAATGAACCTTGTCCAGCATCACCTCGCATTGTCTCAAGGACCCCAGACGGAACCTCTCCTTTTAGGCAGGCGGTGATGAAAGGAAACGACAATCTGACCCAGGCTGAAACAACAAACAAAAGGAACTTATCGCCAGATCTGTTTGTCTGGTTTGTTCTCATTATTTGTCCCCCGCAACCAACCATCCTTTATCACCACCAATCCTCCGGTCTCTTTTATATCGCATTGTGTGCCAGACCTCACGATCATGACTATATAAAGATCACGACGTCTACGAATTGTCCTCGGCTATCTCACTCAAAACTCACCTTACCCGGACCGCATTCACGCATCCCCTCGACCGCAACAACTCCCGTAACCAGCCGGAACACCAGGATCAGAAAGGGCAGAAGCATAAGCGCAAGGATGGAATACCTTCCAGGTGAGTCTCAGTCCAAGAAGCCCGGCAGCCGACCGTCTGGATCCTCCACGCGACGGAACGCCATCAACCCACCGGCCCCAGTGCCAGCCCCATTCCCTAATGGTGGTTTCTCTCGCGCTGAGGGAAGAGGAGACGATGGCCCCGGCGGCATCAGCTACATCCAAGTCTTCCCGGACCTGACCCCGTCCCAAACCAATCCATTCCCCATCATCAACCCACACCACCAAGCCCAGCAGCAGCACCAGCAGCAGGAGGAGGAGGAGGCGAGCTTCTTCGAACCGCCGCTAGAATTTCTCACTCTGCCCGCGGCCCCTGCCCCGCCATCGCCATCGCCATCCACTACCGATGACTATGACAACTACGAGTATACTGACCAAACCCCCATCGTGGTACCAGACTCAATCATGCAACACCTCACCACCACCTCCTTCTCGGCCCTCACCGCTCACCTCAACACCTCGTACCTGACCCCGGCGCTCGCGCACGTCCGCGCCGCCTACATCGACCCCTACCTCGTGCGCCCGGCCGCCAGCTACCTCGCCGCCTCCTCGAGCGCCATGCCCGACCTCATCTCCGTCACCCTCCTGCTGGTCATCCTGTTCCTCTCGCTCAAGCTGCTCGACTACGCCCGCCGCGTCGTCATGTTCTGGGTCAGCCTCGCGTGGTGGCTGCTCTGGTGGGGCACCGTCCTCGGCGTTGGGGTTTGGCTGTATACCAGCGGCGTCGAGCGGGCAGCCCGCGATGTCGGGTGGTTGGTCGGCCTCGCCAGGGGGCTTTTGGGAAGTGTCTTTGAAGATTTGGAGCGCGCGGGGCGGCAGCAGCAACAACATGGAGGACGGCAACCTGGGGTTTTTGGAGGGAATAATGCTCGGTTTGGCGCTGGGCAGCAGGTTCCTCTGGGGAGGTATTGAACCTCCCGGGTTTCTGTCTGTTTGTTTCTTTCACTTTCATCTTGGTGAGCTTTGGTATGTTTGCCGGGTTGGGCGTTTGGTGTGAAGTCAAGTGAGCCACCCAGTGGATGTGCATGTATGCTATGGTTGTTTATAGTATACTATACTATGGGCATGTGTGTGGCTTGCGCTTCGGGCTAGATTTTCGCCTTGCTTTAGGTTAGATTTCTTTGGAATCACTATTGTAATTCATTATTTCATATTTCGGTTTTTTGTGTAACCCTGATTATTTACATTCGTAACATGGCATGCATGGCTTGTAGCCTTTGATGGCTGGCTGGTTGACAGACCCAAGCTCTGATGCTGTCATTCCACATGTCCCGATATCGGACAGAATGCTTGGCCGTCTCTTTTTTGACTGTCTGGCTCTGTAGATCCTCCCCTCTCTGGCTTTCTCTTATCTGGCCGTATTCCTGTTGCTGAATCTCTCTCCTGGCACATTACATGCAGCTTGCGTGGAAGAAGCGGTGGAAGTGACATTCCTTTCGCAAACGAGACTTCCAAGGCCACAACGATCCGGCAAACGAGACCTCGCGATAAGTGTGGTGGTGGTGGGGACGTCCAATTGACATCCTGCGATAACGAATGTCGGTAAAGTAAAAAACCCCGCTGTTGTTAGACGACGACCGGTTGATGTGTTGTTGATCTCGGCTTGCGCTTCATTCCTCAGTTGCAGTCCCCTGCCGCTCGCACACATCCCCCTCCCTTTGTTAGCCCACCCCCTCACATATCTCCATCCTCATAGTCGACCTCCTGGGCATCGTTAGGCTCGCGGGGCTCCTGCGCTTCGTGGTACTGGATGGCATCGTCAATGTGGCTCAACACGGCGGCGACGCTGTCCTCGTCCTGCACGTCGAGCTTCAAGAAAGAGACCATGCTGAAGTCATCGATGAGCTGGCCGACGGCGCGATTGAGCTGGTTGAACGAGCCGCCGCTGAGCAAGTTCTCCTTGGCCGCGGGGTCGCCCTGGACAATGACCTCCCCACCCCCTGTTGCCTCGGCCTCGTCACGGTCCTGATCCGCCTGCAGCAGCTGGACGTCGACGTTGGTGAAGCGCTTGAGCTCCTTGCGCGAGATCATGTCCTTGACCTGGTCCATCTTGGTCAGAATGTTCACGTGCGGCATCTCCAGCATCAGCATGGCGGACATGGCGCTCAGCGTGCCGGCGAAGAACTTGGCCTTGTCCACGACAAACGTGCTCTCCAGGAGGTAGGCGGCGCACAGCGAGATGTTCAGCGGGCCGGCGCGCGACAGGAACTGCACCAGCGACGGCAGCAGCGGGATGTGCGTGTACAGCTCGATCTGGCCCGGCATGTCGAAGATGATCAGGTACTCCTCGCTGAGCGGGTCCAGCGCCTCCGTCAGGAAATCCAGGTTTTGCAGTAGGAACTCGAAGCAGTAGATCAAACCCCCATTGGGGCCCAGCCCCAGCTCCTCCATCACGTCCTCCAGCGTGATCAGCTCCCGGATGTCCAGGTCCGGCTCGTAGCTGAACGTCTCCGCCGCCGGGTCCAGGTTCACGTAGAAGCAGCTCCGTCGCGTGTTCTGGAGCTGTTGGATCACCGCGCTGCAGAAGGTCGTCTTGCCGGCCCCGGCGGGGCCCATCACTAAGACGCCGAACTTGGACATGTTGGAAGAGGGGGTCCGATTTTTGTAAAACAGGAAAATAAAAAAAGAAGGATGGGTAAAATAGATTGGGAAGAATCCCAAAACGGAAACCTGCGAAAGCAATCTCCGATGGGAAAAGTCGGAAGATGGAGGTAGGGATGTTTCGCTCGTAAGCGCAAGCTAGTATGGCGAGTGGGAGAGTGAGAGAGGAGCCGGACTAGAAAGAAAAAGGCCCGAAAGTTGAGTTGAGTTAGCAAAGCAACTTGGTTAGCAACCAACAACCAGCCCCCAACGGATTGAACTTGGTTAAGCTGGGAACTCGGAGAAAGGCAATCGGCCACTGCAATAATGCGGATAAGCAGGAAGCGGACAAGCAGATGAACCGTCCGTCTACCGGTAGACTCGTCTCGAAGTGCTAGTTCCAAAGACTGACCAGTGCAAAGAGACTGACTAGGTAGAGAGTGCCGCCGCGGATAGACGATCGCAAAGGAAAACCGAAAAGTCCGGGTACTGCCAATCCTCACCGCACGCAGGTGGACGATTCTATCTCTCCGATTGGTTCCCACTTGCGTCCCCGGCCTTTTTTCTTCTTGTCGGCTTTTAACAAAAAAGCCTCTTTTT